CTAAACCTATGCACAGCGCATCATCTGGTCCAAAGTGTGGGTACTGGTCTTACATTGGAGCATCGTCTTGATGAGGTTTTCAGTGTCTTCCCTAGAAAATTTTTCATGCATGGTGAATTTGCAACGAGGCGCTACGCTTCTTTTTTTCAGAACTATTTACACTACATAATGAATATATTTAAAGCCATATACCAATCCAATTGTTTTATTTTAGCTACAGCAATTCATACAAGTCCTGGAACTCTAAAGTATTTATCACAGATGAGAGGAATAAATGAAAAACCTTATAAACAATAATAAAAATAATCCAGTCTGCAATAGTTATTTACAAATTAATGTCATGTACACATTATTTTGTTGATATTTTCCTCTGTTTCAACTTTCCAAAGGTCAGCACACATTTTTCAAAATCAAAATCTTCCTCCTTTGGTCCTTCAATTGATATGTGCATTAAACAATTCAGCACTTTTTGGCATAGTCTGATTCTCAAAGGTGTTTTTACTCTGTTCAAACATGAAAAATATCTTTCACAATCAGCTGTTGAAACAGGCAAAACAAGACCAATTGCTGCATACTTAGACAGACAAGGATACAAAGTTCCAAGACTGGCAACTTTGTTCATTGTCTGCCTAAATGTCATGTCTTTACATTCTTTCACTAACAGTGTCCTCAGTTTTTCCCATTCTTCCAGAACTTCTATTTCACTTCCAACTGACTTGAAATGTTTGGCTAGATTCTAAAAAATAATTGTAGTGCAGGAATTATATGTCAAAAACTACAGTTAAAGTACATACTGTATGTGTATGGTCCAGCTTGATAAATAAAAATGTTTTACTTTTTGTTTTTCATTTATCCTCAGACTATAAATAGTAAGATTTATTTGTATTTATGTATATATTTCATAACTAGTTAATGAATAATTCAATGTACATAACTTCAGTTTTATGTGTTGAATCCATTCATTCAATGTAGGGTCCTCTGCATTTAGAGGTCTGGATCCATGACAGATAGTGCATCCAGTACTGGGTTGTCTGGAAATCTGTCATGTAGGTTCTGGACCACATTCTCTAGGTAGGGCTGGTATATATCCCTTTTCAGGTTGTCAATGTCTGACTGCCTCAGTCTAACACCATACTCTGACAGGTTGTCCAGACAGGTTGGTCATTTCTTGTCAACTCCAGTTTTTCGTTTCTTTGGATCTTTTGTGATTTTCGTATTTTCCGAGTTCAGGGATACAATGGCCAGTGTACTGGTAGGTCTTGTGTTTGTTTGTACATCTAGACTTTCGGTGCATTCAGGTGAAGGTTGAATTTCAGGGCTTTGCTCAAGGTGATGATTTTCATGATCTGTCTGACTACAATTTGATGAAGGAGTAGACTTCTCTAACCAACTTGTCAGAAAAGTTGGGCCAGTAATACGACGTGATGATTGTTCTTCGAAATTTGCGGGTAGAATGGTTTCATCTTCAACAGCAATTTGTTAAATAAAACTATGAATGTCATCATTGCTTCACAGACATTTTACAGGAAATAATAAAGTATATTATTTGTGTTAATTACAGAAGTCTTCACTGACTAATACCTGACATACGTACGTACGGATGACATATTTGGCAATTACCTGTTTGAAAGCTAAGCTGACATTATATTTTATGAAAATTAACTATTGATTTAAAAACACCCCTTTCCCATTTATTTATAACGATTCATAATTGTAAAAATCTTATCTTGCTGAAGTGAAAGAAATTTAGCCCCACTTGTGATCACTTGTTTAAAAAGGGTAAATGAATCTGCTACACGTATAAACCCATTGAAATAAAAATAGAACAACACAAGTTTATTAAAGAACAATATTTCCATTAATTACCAAATCTTTTAAATGTTTCATAAGACACATCTTTTACTCGGCCCAGTGATGTGTATTCTTTGATAAAAATCAATCAACCGCGACTAATCTAAAAATAACTGATTGTTGTGACCACTCAAAAAATAGTTCATTGATGTACATATAACTTGTGAAGTAACTGCGAAACTTTATTTAAAAAAATGTGTTGTTCATTCTCGGTGAAATTACCTTAGTTTTATCAAAAAATTTCTACTTTTTAAAGATCATAGTAAAACAACGATGTCAAAAACCCGTTTTAAAAGAGATCACTACCACAGGTAAAAGTTAATATACGGAAAAGGTTAAACTTTTTATTTTTTTTCACAGAAAGTAGGCATTGGAGATTAATATAACTATTTATTTATCAGCTGTCTGGCAACTTCTATTGTGTAACTGAAGTCTCGAAGTATAACCAACTAATCAAGACGGTTGTAAAATCCTGGCACGCACGACATGATGCATCCAATTATCAGTCGGATGAGTTTAAAACACCTGTGGAGATTTGTCAATTGTCTCTTCACTTTCAAAATATCGATAATAAATATTTTACACAGTTACAATTTTCACACATAGTGGGATGCATTGCGGCAATGATGAAAGCATGGCGGTCGAAATTTATGCATAGCGGTACCGCAATGCTTGAATAGCCTAGGGAAAACACTGGTTTTGTCTTGAACTCACACTCCACAATAGGAATCAAAAGACCACGGTTGTACTGGAAATAGTTGCTTCAATCATAACAATAATGACTTCTAAGCTAAGTGTTAATTTTATAGGATTACTGTCTCCAAGTATGATAGATACTATATTTATAAACCCAGACTTACCCCTTGTTGTGACTGGATCGAGTTCCTGTGCATTGTATTCACAAATATGAATCTTAATGTTTCGGTTTTGATTTATTTATATTGATTTAAAAACAAACCAAGCAAGCAAAAAACCCACATGATATATTAAGATAACAAGCACTGGACAAATGTACAGGTCTGTTGATAGTACTAACATAGAATAAGCTCGTAGTCTTTTTAGCTCTGCAATAAAGTGACTTTATCACTGAGTAGTCAGCTTTTGATAATAGAAGTTCCTGAAGTCACACTGACAATAAAGGTATACAGTTCAAATTTACTAACCAGATTGAGTATTCTGTTGTCCCATGATCAGTGAGGTGTAGATGTGGTCAATATTCCACACCATGGCAATCTGCACTGAACAAGGTGCTACAACTTGAACTGGTCTCATGGTAATTACCCGGTAAAGGGATTTTAGATAAAATATTTTTTGAAAAGCCCAAGAAGGTGAAAGAAATAGGTGAAACTTGATTTAAATATTGCAATGTTTTATTTATTTGACTTGTACATTAATCTTTGACTTTTTTATTCAATAGTTGACAACAGGCTATTAGGAAGCAATATCTAATCTCCATCTTTGCGGTGGACATTCAGATCCATTCATTTTTTTTTGTATTTTTTTTTTTTTGTATTTGCTACTATTATAGCTGATATGGAAGCTTCTATTCAACAATCAATAATAGCATACACATCTCAACTATCTATAAAGTTTTACTGATGAATATCTTCATAACACAGTAAGGACTTAAAAAAACTCACAACTTCAGAACACTCGTGAAACAACATGTAACAGTAAGGGAAATTTTTTTTTTACAATAAGTTATAAATAGTGCCCAAGTTCCACACTAGGAAAGCCACCTCCCAAAACTCAAAAGAAGAAATAGAAGTAGAAGTAGTCAGCTTTCTGTTCTTTGACTTTCCAAACCGTCTAGGAAGTTTAAGTATTGTAGAGCTAGTCTAAAGATATGGTCTTGAGTGAGTTAAGTATTTTCTGGCTCAAACGGTTTCTTAGGGAGATCTTGTCTGTTAAGAGCACTGAAGGATCTTTCACAGTCAGCTGTGCTTACTGGATTGACAATTAGAATCTGCAGTATCTTCCCTAAAAAAAATTTCATGCATGGTGGGTCAATGGTGGATTTGCAGTGCGGCGTGCAATGATTCTTTTTCAGAATTAGTTACACTACATAATTTATTTGTTTATAGCCATATACCAATCTAATTGTTTTATTAAAGGTAAGTCATGGAACTTTAAAGTATTTATTACAGATGAGAGGAATTAATGAAAGAACATATAAACAATAATAAAAATAATCCAGTCTGCACTAGTTATTTACAAATTAATGTGATATACACATTATTTTGTTGATATCTTCCTCTGTTTCAACTTTCCAAAGGTCACCACACATTTGTCAAAATCAAAATCTTCCTCCTTTGGTCCAATTGATATATGCATTAAGCAATTCAGCACTTTTTGGCATGGTCTGTTTCTCAAAGGTGTTTTAACTCTGTTTAAACATGAAAAACACATTTCACAATCAGCTGTTGAAACTGGCAAAACCAGACCAATTGCTGCATACTTAGACAGACAAGGATACAAAGTTCCAAGACTGGCAACTTTGTTCATTGTCTGCCTAAATGTCATGTCTTTACATTCTTTCACTAACAGTGTCCTCAATTTGCTGATAGAATGGTTTTAACAGCAACAGCAAGTTGTTAAATAAAACTTTGAATGTCATCATTGCTTCACAGAGATTTTACAGGAAACAATAAAAAAAAAAGTTTATTTGCGTTAATTACAGAAGTCTAGGGAAAACACTGATCTGTGCATACTATGCTAGTGTAGGATAACAGTCTTTCAGAGTTGCAATCTTTCTGATGGCTTTTGTGTAGGTGATGTCTTACATATGTGTAGAAATCAGGTTTCTAAGTGATGAGAACTCTTCTTTGCCTGTCTGGTAATCACCAATACTACGTCTTGTTAAAGTCTGAACGACAGTAAATGAGTTATTTGATTAAAATTTAAAGTGTATAGAAACTGTGAATTCAGAAATTTTTGCTATGTTTTCGGGATAGGTTTCGCAAAAATAAAACCTTCCATTTTAAATTTTGATAGCATTATTCATATGCAGTATTTTCTGATATAGCAATAATTTATATCACATTTTTTTCTATTGTTCAACATTCGCAATAAAAAGCATGCAAAAATTTCTGAATTTACAGTAATTAAATTTTATAGATCCTTGCTTAGGGGAGTTATTTCCATTTCAGAAGTTTACAGCAGACAATGTAAAAGACAAGCTAAAGAAATGTGGACGCCTGGAAGAGATCAAGGCACAGCTTTCACAAATGAGTAAAAACTTGAAAGACCTGAAAAAGACCCCAGTAGAAAGTCCAAAGCTTGGAAAGTTTGAAACAGTTACAATAGAATCACCAGTGAAGGAAATTATAAAACCAAAAGAAGCTTCACCTCTGTAAGATTTATGTTTTCATGATTTAACTTATGATTTATGATTTAAGGATACAAGTATTTCTATTTACAGTACACACGAGATAATTAAGGTGAAAATATGAGTGATGCACTGTCTCAATCACCAGCATTTTCATTGCAAACAGCCACAACCATCAGTAGCTTTTATATCGATCTCCTTGTCTGTACTGAACATTGATCTTTGATTTAAACCAATTTTGCCCATTGCTCATGCTCATAGCATAATAATATTAGTTACACAGTGTGTTAGAGACCTAATAAGATATATATGGGTTCAGTAAATTCCATATTGGGTGAGAGCATAGCTTTTTTGTTTTGAAAGGGAAGTAACTCCTTACTAACCCCATATTTTTTAGGACACCCTATATCAAATATATGTAGTCACCACGTGTAGTCCTTTAACCAATCATATCCCCAAAAATCTATAGGAGGTAAGATAATATTACTGACCTCATATATATCGTATTAGGTCACTAGCACACTATGTAACAAATTTATCTTACAGACTATCTTCACATGGTATTTAGACTAGTGGTCATCTTCAATACCGTTGGTATTAAGAACCTACTTCAATGGGTCTATACAAAAACAAGTTCCAACAATAACAACTTGTTAGCTTTAAATGTGTTAAATGAATTTACTTCAATCGTTCATCATCAATTTCTTCGTCTGTTGAAACCTTAAGATTTTTCCACAACACAGTGTTGTTTTTATAAAGGCATGTAACACCACTACTAACCGTGTATTGAAATAAGCCCCACCTACTAACCCATTATGGAATATACGCGGTCTACACACGGTTGCTTTTAACCAATCATATTCCTAAAAATGTATAGGAGGTAAGATAAATATAGAATAACTATACATATATGATTTATTTGTAATATTGTGGTATTTTAAGTTTCCTTCAAGTTATTTATAGGTGTCTATGTACTCTGGGCACACATGTTTACTTTACTAATTATACCGACTTTCATGAAACCAGAGGAAAATGATAAAAAGTGGTGTATCGCACTATCCAATGATCTTTATTGATTCATTAACTTGACTAGAATTTGCTTTTGCTTCGAATGGTTGTTCAGAATTAATAACTTCAGAACAATGTACTTTAAAAGACACGTTTCAGCCTACCTGCTATGTGTTTGTCAATGGCAAGAGAGATCTTCAGTTGTAAATTAATTTTCCTTACGGGAACATTATTTAATACTTTGATGCATGCACATACTGTATAGCAGGTTATTTTCGCAGGGTGTAAATTTTCGCTTATTTTTAGGGTTAGAACAAAATTGCCAAAATAAATTCTGTCAATTTAAAAGTGCACATGCAATGGTATTGTATAAAAGTTTTGAATCCGCCAAAATATTTTGTATACCTTATTCAATGAAAATCACAAAAGTTTACACCTGCGAAAATAACACGCTGTACAGTACATTCTGTGAACCATTATGAAGTCACAGTAAAAGTCCATTTTAATCAAAGTGGAAAATATGAATACATTTGTATATTTGAATTTAAAATTTGTACATTTCAGCAAACAGAAAGCACCTGCTTATGAAAGATTCCATTCTTTGGCAACACCAGCCCCGCCCACTTTGTCACTTCCTTACAAGTACAAACTACTGGCAGAGATGTTCAGGAACTGTGATACAGTTGTTAGTATGTTACACAACAGAGCTGAAGTATGTACGTTCTCCAAACTAAAGGCAGCAGTTCAGGATATGGGTAAAAGGTAATACATAATTTACAGATATGATTAATAGTATCAAGTTTATATTTTCTACAAATAATGTCCTAGTTCAAGTTGTTGTTGAGAATAAGGCTATATTGGAAAACATGAAGTGTATATGAAGTTTTTTCTGAACTTTCTGCTTTATTTTAAATTCATAACACATGCCTGAATAGCAGTACATGCTTCATGTTGAAGGCTTATGTACAAAATATTGAAAGTTCCAATGACTTTTCTTTACAATTTTCAAAAGCATAAAAAATTAATTTGTATTCTATGTGGAAAGCTAATATATAAAGATAAAAAGTTTAAATCAAAATCTAAAACATGACTTGTGACGTGTGTTTCTTAAGGGCATACGATACAGTTTCGATCCCATGATGAAATTTTTACAAAAACTTGCATACAAGCTATTTTTCACCTAAGCAATTCAAATATGTAATAAAAAATATACCTTCATGTGCTACTTTAAGAGATAAAAAAGGTTGAAATTTTAGACATTTACTGTAAATTTTGTTTTCTGGTACATTTCTATCATTTGGATAGACACACCTAACTTTTTAATTTCAACAGATAAACACAAGCCGATTTTTGTAAAAACACTATGAAAATCTTTTTTACATATATATGCTCTTAATATGAACGACAATGCTTTGGAAATAATTAATTTGTAACAAAGTTTCAGATTTTAGGAAAAAAACGGCATTTTTTGCGGTATATTAATCAAATTAAAAAAAAATCAATATTGACTTTTTCATTAAAATTGGTACAATTAATCTTCATACGTAATCAAACCTAATGCCATTTTAGAAAAGAGGGGTCCATGTACTCGTTTTCAAGATAAATCAGTTTAAAGCATAAAAAACAGTCGAAAAATGCATCTTTTCCCTGATATGTTCTAGTTTGACGTCGCCAAAATAACATTTTACGTTAGCAACGTCATTATCTCCTCTGTAACTGTATTGTATGCCCTTAAACATACAATGTATAGAATTTATCTGACTGTTGAATATACGATTTAAAAAATTATATTTTGTGTTATTAGAAACTTTGAGAAGAAGAATTTAGGACAGATCAAAGCAGTTGACCCTACAGTCTATACTCTTCGTCAGGAGAAAGGATTTGCTGCTTTTGGTAACAAGAAAACTGGATATCAGCTCACAGTAGAAGCTAATTTACCACAAGGTAGAATTGTAACATTTGCTTTAGGACATTGACTTTTTCTTTGCAATGTTTGGAAAGTTTAAAATATTAAAATATTAACAGCAAACGTGTCAACTAAGTTGAAATTTTTGAAAATAGAATAATTCTCCTCTTGGAGGTTCAGTACAGATTCTGACCTTTGATGTATAATGCTGTTGCACTTTGTTTTTAACCCTAAATGATTTGATCTCTGATATCCCATGACTTACTTTGACACCCAATGTGATAAACCTACATGTATATGCATATTCTGCCATCTTGATGTTTACACCATTTGTGCAATAAGGGCCTTATTCTTTTAAAATGAGACGGGACAAAAACAAAACTGAAATGAACCTGATTTATGTGACACCTCACATCTGGTTTTAGATTGGGAAAGACACATTAATGTCATCATTACTTAAACTGGTTTCATAAAAACTGGACCTCCTTCTTTTTGAATTATCTTTGTCTTTTTTTCTGACAATAAAACTTAAAAGATAAATTATCTTTTTTCAGATGTCAAAACATAAATATTGTTTGTACCTTAAGCTGTTTTTGTTATGTAAATCAAATTGTGTTGTAAATTAACAATTTTCTATTTTTGATGACTTGTTACATCTCTATCTTGCATATAACAACTGCATATTTAAGCAGTGGTGACCAGTGAAATTTCAGGTATTTGTTTAGAATACAAATAAAAATATTAATTTAATAAAATGACCAGCAGTTGACTTTTATTTTATTTTTTCACAGAAAATAAGACTGTTCCTGTCAGCTATAAAACTAGACAGACCTTCACTGCTAAACACTTGCTGGAAAGAAGATCAGTGTTCACCAATAAATTGATATCCATTGTTAAAAGACAACACAAGGTAAGGATATACGAATGTCACTCATTATTGTCAACTTACAAATGGAGATGAGGGATGAATTAAATGAGACAGCAACCCAGCATCTATGGTTACCTGACATCTAGGGGTCAACATGCAACTGTCTATCATGGACAAAAACCTGACCTGAAAAGCACTTACCGTGAATGTAGATAAGAATCAATTAAATATTCCATCGCAAATTCTTGATTGAAGAAAAACATGAAAAGTAAAGATACTCCCCCTCTGTTAATAAGCACTTAAAAACATGGTTATAGTTGGCCTCAACTAGTTTTATAAAAACTCAATCCTCCACAATTTTCATATTTATCTTAATCTTAAAAAATTATGATTAAACACACTATAAAAACCATACCTCTCAAACCCAATTGAATGGACAGCAGATGTTAATTGTAAAAAAATAAATAAATGATGTTTTATTTAGAGTTGGCATAGTATACAAATAAGGACATAACATAAGCTCTATTAAGCTTTTAATCGACATACAAGACATAACAATACATTACATAATAAGCATGCAAGAAGGTGATACATAAAAACACAAAATGAAGCACTATAATTAAGCATGGTAGTAATAAGCAGATTATAAACATGATAAGCTAGGTATTAAAGCTGAAAGCAAATTAAAAAAAATGTGTAGAAACTGGAATATTGAAGCACTTACTAATGATGTATGTGATTGATGCTGTGAATAATTAAAAAAATATGAAACTGTTAACACTACAATGAAAATTTACCATTTAAAATGCACTCTGTATATATTGTTTATAAAGTCTTAGACATTCCAACAGATCACTTAGTAGCTCATGAATGTTCTACTTTCTCTTCAGGAATTCCTGTCAAAGTTGGACCGACCACTAAATGTCCCAGATGATAAGATTACTAGATGGCATCCCAAGTTCCGATTAGATGAAGTCGCTGATATTGAACCATCAGAACTTCCAACACCACCCAATGTAGAAGTGTATCAAACAGCTAAAGATGTTTTGGAGAATGCTAGAGGAAAAGTTTTACCAAATGTAATTATATAAAGTACTGTAAATTCAGAAATTATTGTGATGTTTTAGTAATGCAAAAAATGCGACTGTTTCAGGTTTGCAATAATAAAAACTTGCATTTCATAAATTCAGTAGTGATTTTCCTTTCATAACATTTTTGCAATCATATTAATTAGATTTCACATTTTTACCAAAGGTCAAGGATTGGCAATAATAAATGCACACATTAATTTCTGAATTTACAGTATTATTTTAACTGTTTTGACATTCGAAATATGACAGGATAATCGTCACAAATTTTTTAAAATCACAATTTGACTTTTGGTAGTAATATTCTGTGACAGCAAGTTCTGGAGTCCTATTTTAAAATTAGTCACATTATTTTTGTCGGCTATCATAAATGCACAGTAATGAAAGCTCACATTTAATTCTATATTTATGTTAGTACTAATGGAAAAAGTTGGGAATAGAAATCTACAAAGTTCAATAATGTGAAATACACAAAGAATTTGCTAATGTCTTTTTAATCTGTTTCAATGCTAATAACAGAATACAATCTAAATGTCTTTCAGGCTAATTTTCTACAGATTAGAAATATAAACGCTATAAACAGGTTATATGCTAGTAATTCAGTAATGCTATACAAAACTATATGAAATATGTTTTAAATTAGGTCTGTTCAGAGAATCATGATGGTTGTTTGACACCAATTGTTTTTGAGGTTTTTTTTATAAAAAGAAAAATTATGAACTTTGATAAAACTGCAAGTGTCAGTCAAATTGTTACAGTTTTATTAATACTTAAAATTGGTACCTCCCTAATTCAGTACATAACAATATTTGAGAGTTTTTTTGTGTTTCTAGGTAGAGAAAGCATTAGAGAATGTTTCAAATAACAAAAGAGAAACTCCTGCTGTTTCTACGGATAAACCTAAAGACGAGCGTGATGAAATGAGAGGAGTTCCACAGACTCTACTAGACAAGGTATGGTATATGATGAAAAAAAGACCAATAAATATAATGAACTTGAGGCATATATAATTAAAGTTGAGCTTCTGATATTAGGACATGTATTTTAGAATGTATTCTATACAGAGTCCAAACCATTAAAACGCTTAGAGAAATAAAATGAAATTTTAATTATACCTTATGTCGGGTAACATTTTGAGAATTTTTGTTATGGTGATGTCAGTTTGGCTGGGTAACCCACTTACAATATTGTGATGTCAGATGGGCAGGCAGTGAAAAGATGGTACTATTTTGTGTAAACTTTCAAACAGGATCTCTAAAACTTTACAGAAAAATATCTCAAGCCTGCTATTACGAAACTGCTTGAGTAATTTTATCTATCTTCCAAGATATGGAAACTTATTAATTCTTATACAAATTTAACAATCATAACTCTCCTTTAGTTTTCAACCAGTATCCTTGAAACATCACAGAAGTATTGAAATTGAGCACTTTCTACTGTGGAATTATAAAAAAAATTTTCAAGACTTCAGAACATGAAAATTAATATGCAGACTTTTCCAATTTCCAACTCCTAGTTTTCATCATAGACACTTGAAACATTTCAGAAAGATTGCTGGCATATAAAAGTTTATGGAGTTGCTATTTTAAAATTGTTTGGAGAAATTTTTACCAATTTTTCAACAATTAGTTAAAGTGATTAGGTCAGTTTGAGGGGAACCTCTAATGGCAATTCAATGGTATTTGATTCTGAAGCTTCAGTCATTTTTAAGAGCTTTCAGTGTTTTGCATAGTTTACATGTTAAAGTATTGCCATTTTAATATCAATATTTTTATTTACCAAACAAATTACATACAGGTGAGACATATCTCTCTCTGTTTATACAGTTTAATGCAGTTTCCATCAGGATTGATCACAGTAATACAAAGAAGTTTTTCTAAATCACTTTTTCTTAAGAAAAGTTGAAATTTTCTGAAAAGATTTATCGTTAAGTCGAAGTTTATGATTGTGTATTCAAGCTCCATATTTTTTAGGTCCATCATAATTAAGACAAAAAAAAACATCTCAAATAAAATCAATAGGCCAGTACACAAATATTTACAGTCAGTCACTATAAATAATAGAATCACTTGCGGAACACAACAAATCCTGAAAGATCCCTGATGAGGGTGGTCTGCTTTGAATTGAATTCTTGTAAATTTGTCATAATTGTTTTAATCCTTTTGATTTTTGTAATCAATGAATTTTGATTTAACCAATTCATCTAATCTCTGCCAGATGAAATATGTTAAGTAAACGAAAGTTCCACTTGGGCGATCAACCAAAGTGTTAATTACTAGTCACCATAAACATGTCATTTTAACTGTTATACAAACAAGTATATTTATTATGAAAATAATTAGGTTGCATAAGATAAACATCTGATTTGAATTTTATCTTTAAGTCTGCATTTTTCAAAATTTCTTACTTTCGAAACTTCGAGACATCGGGGTCAATTTACATTAATTTTACATCGATGGGACCAAGAAATTTACTCAACTTAACCGAGAATTCAAATCAACTGAGTTTGACTCATCAGAGGTTAAAATGCATTGATCAAACAGGAATTTTACCGGGACCAGGAAATTTCTTCGACTAATCTGAGTTTTCAACACAACCGAGTTTGACACGATGTTCAACTGTATAATGAAATCTGGTAATTGTTTACAAAGTAAATAATATAGCTGATTCACCTTGATTGATTGTTATTCATCATATATGTTTGTTTTACATGTCTTAAAACTGAATCAGAATATCATATTTTACCACATTTTGTTAATTCATTCTACAGATCAGAGCAAAAGAAGCCAAGAAGATTGAAGCAGCAATGATGAGGAATCCTGTAGAAGACAAGAGACAGAAGATGTTACAGAAATTACCAGAAATGATGAGAATTCTGCGAGGTCATTTTGTAACAGAAAAGAAGCCAGCCTTGCTTAAAGCTGATATAGTCACTAAACTGGTTGATAGCTGTAGATCGGCTATTGCTGTTGGTATGTAGTTTTTTGGAAAGTTTGCTATAGCTTGCTATAGCAATAAACTTTCCAATGGCATTGGCCTCCCAACCGGAAGTTGGACAGACTATCGCACTATAGGATGTGTGTTCTACTCCTAGATAATGTAGTACTAGTGTTTGAATACTAATTATAGGAAGATGCTTTTGAAGTTTTGAGTTACTTCTAATTTATTAAGCTTACAGCTTGAATAAAAATGGACTGAATGTTCACCGACAATTCAAATGAATCCAACTTCATTTTGAAAATGGGTGTCACAAACACTACTTCGCGGATCTGACCTGCGTTGAAGATAAAATTAATAACATCAACACAAGGCAGCAGTTTCTACGTTTATATTCATTGAAAATTAAGAGGGCCTGATATTTATTTCGAGGTGTGTGTTGGGTTTTTTTTTTACATTTATTCATGAAATTAAAGAATTCTTATTGTTAAGAATATCGTAATCTTTTAAGTTTTTACGTTTGTAAATGGTATTAGGTGTGACCTCTATAAATTATTCATACCTTGAACTTTCAGCCATTTTGTATGTTTATGTTACCTTTATGTTTTCCTACGGGATTCCCCAGACATGCATTTAATCCATATATGTGAACCTCCCGACGGGAGTACAATAATCCCGGTGTCAGGGGTCTCCTCCTGTCCTCCGATTGAAGAGAAAATAAATACCGTGTTTAAAATATTTCATGAAGGAACATTTTCCGATGCCATATTTACAAATGTTTATTAAAGACGTAAAAGCCTGAGTGTATCGAAAGTATCATCATATCTCGGCCTATAACATACTCGGCCTATAACATAATTGGCCTCACAAAATAGGACTCTAATTACTATATATATACACCCTATGGGATTTTATTTTTTCAAATTTTCAAATGACTATAACTTGAAAACAGTAAGTGATAGACACACACAGTCTTCAGTAATGATCACAGGACAATAAAACAAATCAGATAAAATATAGGGTGAGTCCTGGGGGTTCCCCCCCTCCCCTTTTCAATTTGAGAATGTTTGAGAATGTGCTTTTATCTTGTAAACGGTTGAGATCCCCACCCCTAAACCATATATATTCTTGTATGGGACAATAAAACAAATCAAATGAAATATAGGGCGAGTCCCTGGAGGTCACCCCATCCCATCCTGTTTGAGAACTTGTAAACGGTCGAGATCCCCACCTTAAAACCATATATAATCTTGTATGGGACAATAAAACAAATCAAATGAAATATAGGGGAGTCCCTGGGGGTCACCCCCACCCTTTCCTATATTAGAACTTGTAAACGGTTGAGATCCCCACCCCTAAACCAAATGTATTCTTGTATGGGACAATAAAACAAATCAAATGAGATAAAAGTCGAGTCCCCTGGGGTCACTCCCATCCCTTCCTGTTTGAGAACTTGTAAACGGTCGAGATCCCCACCCTAAACCATATATATTCTTGTATGGGACAATAAAACAAATCAAATGAAATATAGGGAAAGTCCACAGGGGTCACCCTACCCCCCCTTCTTTTTGAAAACTTGTAAAAGGTCGAGATCCCCACCCCGAAACCATATATATTCTTGTATGGGACAATAAAACAAATCCAATGAGATGAAAGCGAGTCCCCTGGGGTCACTCCCACCCCCTCCTGTTTGAGAACTTGTAAACGGTCGAGATCCCCACCCCTAAACCATATATATTCTTGTATGGGACAATAAAACAAATCAAATGAAATATATGGAAGTCCATGGGGGTCACCCGACCCCCCTTCATTTTGGAAACTTGTAAACGGTCGAGATCCCCACCCCGAAACCAAATATATTCTTGTATGGGACAATAAAACAAATCAAATGAAATAAAAAGTCGAGTCCCCTGGGGTCACTCCCACCCCCTCCTGTTTGAGAACTTGTAAATGGTCGAGATCCCCACCCCTAAACCATATATATTCTTGTATGGGACAAATAAATTAATCAAATGAAATAAAGGGTGAATCCCCTGGGGATCATGGGGAGACTTCATAACAGCATCCTGTAACAATTGTTTCTTGTTAACAATGTGTCAACTCAACACAGAGGGAAAGATAATATCAAATGAATTTTATTTATATTTCCAGGTGATGTAGAAGCCCATTTAAGTTTAATGATTGAAGTGTTACCACAATGGTTAAAGCAGGTGGAAATAAAGAAAGGAAAGTACATCAAAATGGACAGGAATCTGGAGTTACAAACACTCATAGCTCAAGTCAATAAATCTATACAGAGTTGATGAAGGCATTTTAACTTTTTAGTGCAATTGTAAATATTTTTTTATGTTGTATGTAATTAACATTTATGCTTAGCAATGTAAGATGATTCATCATTATTTTTTGTGCTTTTTTACTTTAAAAAGATATACATGTATTACTAGAAATACCATAATGTACTTCACATGTAAGTACCAAAAATGTTACATGTTATTGAAATCATTGAGGAGCAGATTTTTTTACTATCTGTTTGGTAATTTCTTTCTAAATATTTTACTATTTGACATTTTTAGATATAGCTGTAACAAACTAAGAATAAATATACGATAAAAGTAGAAGCAGAAATCATGTATATTGATACTATAATTTTTTGTCAAAACATGATGAGTTTTTGTTTGAGAAAAATTTCCATTTCGTTTGAAACATTTTATTTTATTGAACATTCTAAATTTGACACTGAAACTTTGCATGCATAGGCAGATTCAGAGATTCAAGGATCTTAAATAGCTAAAACAGTAGATATGTTTTTCTCAGGTTACAGATTTGATTCAGGTATTTATATATATTGCACTATCATAACAGTGATTATATATATATGATATATGAATTAAAAATAGTAGTACCCCATGTGTGTTTGTGATAGAATAAATTGAAATAGGGCTAAAGGACAATTACCTTTATTTTTATTTAAATTTTTAATTGCATGAATGATGGAAACATATTTTTATGCCTTGCAAGATCTAAAGTAATTATTTGTTATGTTTTATAGACCACAACATTTTAATAACTTTCATATCTTGATCCACAAATTTATTTTGAAATTAGGATACAATCAGGTTCAGAGAAATTTTTATATATAATATCGTAAAAATGTAGATTTTATTTTGCATGCTGTAGATGATTTACATTTATTTTGTATAAAGTAGAAAGAAGGGATTTTTTTTTAATGCAATCTATAAACAATTTCCTAGTTGTACCTTTTTGAGATATTACTTAGCAAAAAGTATTATTCAAATTAAGTTTTTGCGATTGTATAATATTTTTCTGTTATTGTCAAACAAAGTGACCAAACACATGTAATTCTCTTATTGTGATGTTTAGATTTCTTTTGAGAGTAGAATAAAATTTATGGGTATAGGAAAACTTTATATAAAAACATAACTTTTTGTTTGCTAGAGATGTATTGCATTTATTTTGTATAACTTGTGATGGAAAATGATAACGCATTGCAAATATAAGTTGTTAAATAAATTTGTTGATTTAACACATGACTTTTTTTTGACCAATCCATAGATGAAATCCATTTTCCAAAAAGCTTTGATGGTGTATTGGAGGCACTCAATTTAATATGGGTCGTTGCATATTCCACAGAATTTTGTAAGAATTATAAGTAAAATGCAAATTTTTATAATGGTATTCAGGGTGTTAAAAAGTGCCTCCCATATGTTTATGGAACAGCCTTTAACAATATTTTTCTGTGTATTATATAACTATATCATAATTGATATAGTTATATAATATATATATTTGTGTTCTAAAGTATTGGACAATGCAAGCATATTCATCTGGTCCAATATTTATTTATGTCAGAACAAGTTGCCAAAAAAAGAAAAAAAAACCACCAGAGAAATGTAGTATAAAGAAAGCTCATTTATTGCTGCACCTTTTCATATACCTTAATGACTTGTCTCCATTTTCACCTTGGTCATCACATTTGAATGACAACACTTTGTCATTCAGCCATTGACCTAATTTCTAATTCCTGGTCCAGTGGTCAGGGAAAGTTTTCAGGTACCATAACTATACATGATAGGTCAACAATATTTGATATGTGAAGTTTTTACAAGGAATATATCTTCTACTTGCAGTCGAAATTTCCCAACCTTGCCCCAATAAATTAATTTTGCAGATTCTACTAAATCGCTTTTGTTAAATTTGTTTTTGTCGAGCCTGCGACTTATGTCGCAGAAAGCTCGACATAGGGATAGTGATCCTACGGCGGCGGCGGCGTTAGCTAACTTCCTAAAAGCTTTATATTTTAGAAGCTAGAAGACCTGGATGCTTCATACTTTGTATATGGATGCCTCATGTTACGAAGTTTCCGTCAGTCACATGTCCAATGTCCTTGACCTCATTTTCATGGTTCAGTGACTACTTGAAAAAAAAGTCAGCATTTTTTGTAATGTTAATTTCTTTCTTATTATGAGTAAAAGGATAACTATATTTAGTATGTGCGTACCTTGCAAGGTCCTCATGCCCGTCAGACAATTTTCATTTGACCTCGACCTCATTTCATGGATCAGTGAACCAGGTTAAGTTTTCGTGGTCAAGTCCATATATCAGATACTATAAGCAGTAGGTCTACTATATTTGGTATATGGAATGATTGTAAGGTGTACATGTCCAACTGGTAGGTGTCATGTGACCTTGACCTCATTTTCATGGTTCAGTGGTCAAAGTTAAGTTTTTGAGTTTTGGTCTTTTTTTCTAATACTATATGCAATAGTTCAACTATATTTGGTGTATGGAAATATTTTATGATCTATATGTCAGTCACGCAGGTTTTATTTGACCTTGACCTCATTTTCAAGGTTCATTGCTCAGTGTTAAGTTTTTGTGTTTTGGTCTGTTTTTCTTATACTATGCAATAGGTCAACTATATTTGGTGTAAGGAATGATTGTAAGGTGTACATGTCTAGCTGGCAGGTGTCATCTGACCTTGACCTCATTTTCATGGATCAGTGGTCAAAGTTAAGTTTTTGAGTTTTGGTCTTTTTTTCTAATACTATATGCAATAGTTCAACTATATTTGGTGTATGGAAATATTTTATGATCTATATGTCAGTCACGCAGGTTTTATTTGACCTTGACCTCATTTTCAAGGTTCATTGCTCAGTGTTAAGTTTTTGTGTTTTGGTCTGTTTTTCTTAAACTATAAGCAATAAGTCAACTATATTTGTTGTATGGAAGAATTGTTAGCTATACATGACTGCCTAGCATGGTTCATCTGACCTTGACCTCATTTTCATGGTTCATTGGTCAATGTTTAGTTTACTTGGTTAATGTTAAGTTTATGTGACAGTTGTAATAAAGCTTTATATTTAGGACTATCAACATAATAACAATGATTAATAAAGAAGGCGAGACATTTCAGCGTGTGCACTCTTGTTTCATCCTGATTATGTGTAAACTATATAACACTGGATATAAGCAAACATCAATCAATCAAATGAGAAGATATTTTAAAATTAACTAATCAGAATCAAGAGTTCAACTTTCCAATTGTGAACTTTTCATTTATGGGTAGCAACATTACAGCAGCGTCTGCATATGGAGTATGTATCTCCCAGTTGATACAATATATCAGGGCTTGTTTCCTATCATGATTTCCTTGATTTAGGTTTTTTGCTCACAAGGAAGCTATTGCACCAAGAGTTCCAAGTGGTGAAGTTGAAATCATCCCTTAAAAAAGGATACATCACTAGTTGGACCTTTATGGAATATCTGTTTCACAGATGACGATGGATGTGTTCCAATTGTTAACAGCACAATCCCGTCCTCCTTTTCCCCAAAATATGACCTACTAAATTAAACTTATCAGTGGGTTCTTATTACACGAGCAACACGACTGGAGCCACATGGAGCAGAATCAACTCATTCTTCCAGAGCACCTGAGGTCATCCCGAGTTTTTTGTGGGGGTGAAGTTGCTGAGTCTTTAATTTCTATGTTGTGTTTTGTATACTGTTGTTTGTCTTTTGGTCTTTCTTTTTTTGCCATGGCATTGTGAGTTTATTTTCAAATTAAAGGAGTTTGAATGTCCTTTTGGTATCTTTCACCTCTCTTTTACATGGCAATCCTTCACATAATTTAATTTCCAAATCATTTTTGATCAGTTTTGGATTTCAAACAAAATTATATTTAACTCACAGGAAAAATATTGATTCCATCTTTCCACCCGAAAGAAAGAAATCTTTGACAATTGGCTGCTATGAAAGGTAATGGTTTGAAATTTGGTCTGCAACTTGATAATGTAGAGTTGTAGCGAGTAAGTAATTCTGACATCTGCTGTGTAGCCACTTCCTGTTTGCTGTTAGTACACTCATTGTACAAGGAAAATTTTCATCGTAGTTTTTGTGGCTTCTATGAAAGGGAATAATTTAATATTTGGTCAGCAGCTTAATAATGCTGAGTTGTATTGAGTAATTGATTTTTACATCTGCTGTGTGGCCACTTCCTGTTTGCGGATAGTATGAAATTTTACAACATTGTACAAGGAAAATTTTCTTGGCTACTATTGAAGTGAATGTTTTTAATATTTCATAAATTTGTCTGGGAATGATCAGTTATGCTCCGGTATACATGTTACCTCAATCAGTGATGCAGGTCAAGAACAGGTATTGGTCTTTTGTAACTTGAGATATAGTTAATATGAACTTTTCATTCAAATTTAATAGAATCAGTCAAGAATTTCAAGGAAGACCAATCTTACAAGGGAATTGTTGGCTTGATTTTTACACAGCATTTCTCAAATAAAAGTGTTTGATTGGCCTGTTTTTTTTTTAACTTGATCGATATATTGTTGATTTAAACCCCTCATTTACATTTAATCAGAATCATCAAACACTGTAAAGGTCATCAAAACACTTATAAGATGAACAGAGAGCCTGTCATTTCCATGTCTCTACAGTATCTTTGTGACTGACAAAAAATATTTTCCATCTTTCATGTGTAATTAGAAAGATACATACAATCCAAGATCAGAACTCAATTTTAAGAATGAAAATGAGGTCAAGACCATTTGTAATACATAGGATGTACTTCTCACAGCAAATCCACATTCCAAAAATTGACCATTACATGCTGAGTAACAGGCTTTGTGCTAGCTTTGGTTGTTTGTTTCTTGAGTAATTTTGTTAATTGTTAATGTGTTTTCTAAGGACCTTATTTAGTGAGAAGAGTCATGCCCTATTCAACTGATTTTAGTTTGGTCTAACATTGTGCTGTTATGCCACTGCTAAAAAAATCAACCCACCAAAATGAGGTCAAAGCCATAAGAACTAGAGGATCTAAAGAGCCTGTGTCGCTCACCTAGGTCTATGTGCATCTTCAACATTGTAGACTACTGTTTACAGTTTCTCTTATTTAATTTTTGCCCAAAACACAAAAGAGGGTAAAAAAAATTGGCAATCACTCCACTAGCTTTTTCAGTAGAATTTGACCTGATTGTAGATCTTGTCTTGCTGATCATTTTTGTTATTTAAAGTTTCTATCCATCTTATATAGTTTAAGATAATAGGCAAATTGGTAAAAAATTGTCATAAAAGAGCAATAACTTCAATAACCAGTCGACTGAAGAATTCGACCTTTAGACTTGTTTGTAGACCTTGTCTTGCTGATCACTTTTGCTGTTAAAAGTTTCTATCTATGTATCGTAGTTTTTAAGATTTGAGGCAAAAAAATTGGTAAAAATCTTCATTAAAGGGCAATAAGTCTAACTAGAAGTCGACTGATGATTTCCGCTATTTGACTGATTTGAAGATCTTGTCTTGCTGATCATTTTTTATGTCAAGATTCTCTCTTAGCTATTATAGTTTCAAGATAATAGGCAAAAATGGAAATAATATGGTAAATTTTGTCATCACAGGGCAATAACTCCTATAAAGTCGTATGACAGTTCTGATGTAAAAACAATAGGTCCGGGTACACAGTTATCGTCCTTTGATTTTCGTTGTCCGCGAATATAGTCCCTAGTGTGGACAGTGTGTTACTTGTCGATTTTTTTTATACCCCTTCCGAATTTATTTCTCCATGTTTTATGACTCAAATAGTAAGTAGGGGGGTGAAATGACACTGTAAAAAAATTTGGGTCATGAATTTTAAAGTAAAGTAGTGATTTGGTCCAGCTGAAAAATGTTAAAAATTAGCACTTCGGAGGCTGTCAAAAGATTTGAAGACCCCCTCAGCATGAAATTGTCCATATTTTGAGTTAGAGCCGATGAAGTTTTCTATAATTTTGATATAATTTGTCCCAAAAGTAGTACAACACACTGTAAAAATATTATTGAGAAAGCTCAGGTGGGATTTTTTTAATTTTCATTTATTGTCTAAAAGAAATGCACTACGAAATAACTGTGTACTCGGACCTAAGAGGTGAAATCAGGAAATATAGAATCTGTACTTTGGCAACTTCCCTGAATGATTTGATGGTGTCAATTTATCAAATAGCATAAAACTAAAGGATTAAAACTTTTATTTGATAGAATTTCTGCAAAATGATCAATTTTGGCATTTTATGGTCAAAATAAGCATTTCATAGCTTTTTCAATTTTGATGCATAAGTGGCATTCTGACTTTCTATCTAATAGGTTTTTATGTGTCAATATTTGTGTTTCTATGCTTCAATCCAGTTGTATTACTCATTTGTGAACTCTGAATCTACAGAAAAGAAGATTATCTCAGACAATATGTTCAAAATGTGTTGTATATATGGTCCTCGTCTAACGCCCTGTTTGGATCGAGTTAAATGTGAGGAGCTTGGAACATAAAAGTTGAAGTCCATTATAAAGACCTCACTAAATTTGTATAAAAAGCACTTAACAATGTCTTTTGTACCTGTTTTATGTCACATAATATCTTTCTTTTCTTCTGTAGGATAGCAAGTGGTTCAAATATAAGCCTGTTGAGACTAAAATTGCATGCATGTTTTTCACTAAAAAGTGAAAAATCTTTGTATCAGACCATACTGTTTGCAAAAAAAGTTGAATGCAAGAGTCTTTTTGTGCTCAGATTTATTGTATCATGTCACCTGAGTATAGAAATGATAGAAAAGACACAAAATTTTATTTCATATAGCTTCAATATGCATTTTTAAATGTAAATATGTGATACGGCCTAAATTGACCCTAAATTATTTTCAGTCTTACTTGGCCTAAGACCCTTTTAAACTAATGTGATATGTTATTTGTAAGTTTTCTTTCCATTTAAAGTACATTAAATACATATGTAAGGATTATTTATAACCAAAAAGCTTTACAAATTTAAAATTGCTGGAAAATATTACATCTTCATGTAAGGCCCCCCTTCATTGGAAAACCTCCATTTTTAGCCACAGGCTCATATAAATTTGACTTTTTAATAATTATGATAAGTCTGATAAATCAAATGAGTACTCTATTGCTTTTAATACATAATATATTATATATTAAGGCATTTCAAAAGTATTTTTTTGCAATATTTAAATTTTTTAAGCCCCAAATATTGATAGTTGAAAATTTTCAATTTTAACATCTAAATTTTACACTCAAAGTTGAATATAGAATTAGTCATATTGTCTATAATATATATCCTATTGCCATGAAACTTTGTAAGCAGTCTTATAATTTAATAAGCTTTGGTCATACCAAGTTTCATTAAGATTGGTCAACTTTTTCTACCCTATTAGGTCCGGGTACACAGTTATCGTCCTTTGATTTTCGTTGTCCACGAATATAGTCCCTAGTGTGGACAGTGTGTTACTTGTCGATTTTTTTTTATACCCCTTCCGAATTTATTTCTCCATGTTTTATGACTCAAATAGTAAGTAGGGGGGTGAAATGACACTGTAAAAAAATTTGGGTCATGAATTTTAAAGTAAAGTAGTGATTTGGTCCAGCTGAAAAATGTTAAAAATTAGCACTTCGGAGGCTGTCAAAAGATTTGAAGACCCCCTCAGCATGAAATTGTCCATATTTTGAGTTAGAGCCGATGAAGTTTTCTATAATTTTGATATAATTTGTCCCAAAAGTAGTACAACACACTGTAAAAATATTATTGAGAAAGCGCAGGTGGGATTTTTTTAATTTTCATTTATTGTCTAAAAGAAATGCACTACGAAATAACTGTGTACTCGGACCAATAGGTAAAGCTCAACAATTGAACAGTTCTGCCCCCTGTCAGATTTTCTCTATTTATAGTGTTTTTCAAAATAATAGACAAACTTACATTTTTACATTTCTTACAAAACTGTCTGCCATCTTGGTTGATGAATTTTGCAGTCGTCTATTGGTATCACGTCTTCGTCATCCGAAGACATTTGGTTTCTGGACAATAACTTTAGTATAAGTAAATAGAAATCTATGAAACTTAAACACAAGGTTTATAACCACAAAAGGAAGGTTGGGATTGATTTTGGGGGTTATAGTCCTAACAGTTAAGGAATTAGGTGCCAAAAAAGGGCCCAAATAAGCATTTTTCTAGTTTCCAGACAATAACTTGTGGAACGGTGTATGGATCTCTCTGAAATTATACCACAAGTTTCCATACCACAAAGGGATGGTTAGGATTGACTTTGGGAGGTTATGGCTCAAACCGTTTAGGAATTAGGGGCAAAAAAGGGAGAAAAACATAGGTTTCCTGGTTAATGGACAATTCAAAATGACAAAACCATGAAAATTTCACATTGACCAATGTACCATGAAAATGAGGTCAAAGCCATGAAACCACACACAGACATACGCACCTTATAATCATTCCATACACAAAATATAGTGCCTCTATTGCTTATAGTATCTGAGAAATATATCAACCCCAAAAAAATAAACACTGTCCAATGAACCATGAAAATGAGTTCATGGTAAGAGGAAACCTACAAGTTGGTAATTTATATCTTACAATTATTTCATACACCATATATGGTTGACCTATTGATTATACATAGTATTTGAGATATGGACTTAACCTTGATCACTAATCCATGAAATGAGGTTGAAGTCAGGTCAACTCTGTCTGAAGGAAATGTAGACTTTGCAAGGATCCCATATACCAAATATAGTTATCCTATTACTCAAAATAAGTGAGATTTTTACATGAAAAAAATTACTTTTTTTCAAGTAGTCACTAAACCATGAAAATGAGGTCAAGGACAATGAACATACGACATCCATAAGGTATCTGCATACAAGGTATGATACATCCAGGTCTACTTCTTTCTGAAATATGAAGCTTCATACAAATAGTTTATGCCATTGCTGCTGCTGCCCGATTGTAATCCCTATGTCTCGCAAGACAAAAATGGACCCCCATTGAGTCCTTTAGAATTTTTACTGTTCTAAAAATTTTAAAAGGTAAGTTTGCATGTATGTTTGAATGATTTGCTTTAATATAAAATAAATAGTGATTTTTGTGAATTAAGTGATGTCAGTTGCACACTTATTGTCATTATATATAAGATGAATGAGTTTTTAGAAAAGTTTACATATGCAGACATGTGGATACATAAAAACAAAGGTCATTGTTTAATATGACTCGTTTGGTCAATCATACAACATTTCCTTATAAAATTTTATTTTCATCTCAAAGACAACAACTTAATATTGAATAACAAATACAAAATGTATAAAAAATCTTAAATGATAAATGTTTTGTTTACTGTGTCATGAATTGTTTTGGCCATTTAATATGTTACAAAAAAAATTTCATAACCTTCTAGAGTTCATTAATGTCCCCTATCTCATTTTAGTATAATTCCTTTTACACAATTATTAAAAGATTACTTTCTGTTTAGTAAACAAATTATACTTGTTCAAAAACCAAATACTACTGAGGTTCTTGACCTGACCCAATCACATTTATATGAGATGAGGTCAAACTATTAAGGGTCTCAACCCTCTCTCTCTTTATCTTGATCAATGGAATAACAAAAAGTACAAAAAGTGCACAATTAAAATCAGTTCAAAAGCACATAAATCATTAATGTTGAAGATGACAAAAATACAACTACAAAATGAAACAATACTATATTATACTGTATCAAGAATGCTAGATTCTGAAAGTGCAACACACAGATATCAAATTCAGAGAACATGAGAAAATTATCTGATGATGAAATTGTTTCACAAAAATCGCTGTAAAAACATGGATGGATAGAGGTAAAAATGTATATGCTCCCTCATTCGACCAAAACTTGATGCAAGTCATTGCAGATAATATGTCAACAAAAAAGTTCAGCTTTGAAAGTAAAACAATGATGATAAAATACTATTATTATGAACTACTTTATACAAGGTATTAAAAACTTATTTCACTTTTAATAAACAAGCACTATTTCCTTTGATTTCATTGATGAATTGAAATCCAAATTTGCAATATTGCACATTTTAATCTTGTGTTTCCTCAAGTCTATTTAACTCAGCTTGTAACATGTAGTCTACAAATTATAACATGTCTTGAATTTCACGTGCATGCTATATTGTTGATACATTTGAACACAATAAAGCTGTTCTACAAATTGTTTTAGTATTTATATGTCAATATCATTCAGGAAGACATCACTATCTAGGTTTGGCTGGTTCCATACAGTTTCCATCTGGATATCTCTCTTTAAATCTGGCCACAATGTCAGGATCCTTTAATCGAACTCCTTCTGTTTGGTTTCCTAGTGTTATCCTGTCAGAAATTTTTTTAAATATTAGCATGATTTATAAATATATTCATTTGAACTTTTCCATGGGGGATATTCATTTTTGCAAAACAAAAATATATTGTTTTGGATTTTAAAATTATTACATTTGACAACTGTGTTCCAAACTAAAAGTTGTCAGTAATATTCAGTGCAATTTTTTGACAACTAAAGTTCTTTCTACTAGACTAGACCTGAAGATGACCTAGACTGGGGATTCCCCTTATTTGTAGAACATTTACATTAATTCATTTTTTACTGTTCATTTATATATGTATATGTATTGGTAGGATTACAAGTTACTGACAGGAACAGTGTACAAAGACGTTTTAATCTTTGCTAAAAACGTCAAAAAATCTTAATTACTTGCAGAATGGAACTGTTTTAATAAAAAATAACTCAAGAACTGCAAAAGTGACACTACCCAAATTTTTACTTGATCTGAGTTTTGTGGTAATAAGCATTGTGTTAACGTTTCATAACATTTAGTCCAAGCCAAACTTAAGTTATAGAACGGAAACGAAAAATTAAGCATTTTTTCCATTTGTAAAGGGCATAACTCTAGAACGGTAAAAGTGACACCACCAAAATTCTAACTTTATCTGTGTTTTGTGGTAATTAGCATTGTATATAAGTTTCATAACATTTGATTGAGGCAAACTAAAGTTAGAGAACGGAAACCAATTTTGGGATGTACAGACGGACGGAAGGAACGGATGTACAGACGGACAAGGGTAAAACTTAATGCCCCCTCCGCAACGGCAGGGGCATAAAAACAAGATAATGCTTATGGTAACTGATAAACTAATATTATATAGGACATTGTTCTGTAAATTGTAAAAAATTTGAAATATATTTGATTTAAGAGCATATTTGACCTTAAATTATACCTTCCCCTTTTGTGGTTCATAAAAACAACAAAAAATAAATTAAATATCCAATAAATTGTGATGTTTTTATTGTTTTATTATATACAAGTGATATCTTTATAATAAACCATGAATAAAAATTTCATTGATTAGCTTGTCTTTTAAAACTTTAAAATGAAACTGCCTTAGTTATGACATAGGTTAGAATTCAGACATCCACTTATCTCTGATGACATCAAATCAAATACTGTACTCCCAACACGAAAAGTTATTTAAAATCAATAATATTGATGTTAAGGGTGCACTTAATGCAAAATAATTTAAACCATTCACAAAAAGTTTATGCATTGACTTAATTAAAAATATCCACATTTACAGAAGATTTCCTTCAATCCTACTTACCAATTAGGCTGTACATTATGTGGACGACCAAACAGTTCTACTTTTCTTGTTCCTGGAGACAACCTTTCTATAATACCATAGACTTCATCAGGTTTATGACTGGTAGCCCTTACCTAATAAAGAAAACAAATTGCTTATGAGTTAGTGTTACCCAAATTTAGAGAAATATATTAAAAATGTTTTAAGCAGATAATATAATGCAATAACTTGTTCTATCTTAACAAATTGGTCTCTGACGTGCATGACCTGGTGTGGTCAAGGGAAAAAAGAATATCTTTTTTTGTAATTAATTAAGGTCCTTGCTATGTCCATATTTAGTACATAAATGATAATGATCTCTAAAGAAAGAACGAGATCAGGCCTTTGGTTATTAAACTTATCTCAGTACCAAGAGTATAAAATGTGTACTCAAAACACCAAATCCATCATTTTGAATTGCTGATTTCTGAGTCTGAGAACAATAATCATATTCAAAATTTTTATGACTGTTAGGCCAGAAATCTCAACCATGGAATATATCTCAGCACTATAATATATATTGTACAAATCTATTGATGTGTGTTCAAATTAAAAATTGGGCAATTACATGGTGAAATATGCAATATATTTAAAACAAATCAAGGACATTTTCTGCTTTATAAATACTTAAATATTAACACTGAAAAATGTTTTGAATATTTAATTTATATGTCATACACAGCCATACCTCTGCTACAATAACATCACAGTCCAAACCACAATTCACACCTTTAGGGTTACCTTTTACACCAACCTATAGTAAACACAAAATACACAATAACCAGCACATTTGTACATCATTTTCAAAATTTTCAAACAAAATAGTTAATGGCTCAAGCTTAACTAGCAATAATTAAAATCTGATGCCTCTAGATTAAATCCAACCCAAACAGAGGACAGTTTAGCTAATGGTTGCCTTCTGGTCAATTATACATTGACAAATTAAACAATTATCAAAATAAGAATAAGAGTGGTTTATTAACCTTACTCTAAGTAAATAACTGTCAGAAATGGCCTTATTGGAATGAAGAATACATACAATACTGAACATCTATGTATAATTTCTTTTAATTTCTAGGGGTAACTTTGGATTTCTATTCATTCAAAAATAATTGTATGCTCTAATTTATGACTGGTTGTCAAAGTAAAACAGAAATTTTTCTGTTAACTAAAAATATTATGAATATTTTGAAGACACTGAACTATGACCAGATTTTTTTTTAACAGAAAAAATAATATTTACCAGACAATGTTCTTTTCCATGATTCAGCCAATGACCAGTTCTTCCTGTCCTTATTATTCTCTGTAGTTGATTGGTCTTCACCCATATCAATTCATCCATTCTTGTATATCTTTATAAAAATATAAAAAAACAAAGAATCAATATGCAGCAGATGAGGTTTTACTGTCATAAGGAACAAAATACCTGCATAATCATTTGCAATCATAAAAGTTTGTAATAGAGATTGCTTATTAAAATTGTTTTAAAAAATGAACTCCGTCTGTAAAAATATCAAAACCTGATTTAAGGAATTTAAATATATGAGCATGGCAGAAAAGGCAGGTTCTATAAATTTAGATATTCATTTTTGAATAATGTAAAAAAAAACGTTTGAATCCATTATAATATTGATAAGGAACATATAGACATGCTTTTTCATTTTATTACTGAAAACAGGCCTACATTAATTCTTCATTTTTTCAAATATAACTGGACATTTCGTTATTTGAGATAAGTGCACCATTTAATTCTATAGGTCAAAATAGTGCAGAATATGTATACTACATAGTTTTTTGTGAGATCAGTGTTGCTCAGTCTTTTTACTTTCTATGTTGTGTTTTGTGTACTATTGTTTGTCTGTTGGTCTTTTTATTTTCTAGCCATGTCATTGTCAGTTTATTTTCTACTTATGAGTTTGAATGTCCCTTTAGTATCCTCGCCTCTTTTTTACATCGGTTAAGAAAAAATCCGAATAAAAAAAGATTTATTAAATGGTATTGAATGCCATACATTTCTCATTGGTAATTGGACCACAATCAAAACAAGTATTCTCCTAGTATGAAAACCCCTCCTCTATCAAGTTTTTATTAACTATAATAGTACATTGCAACCAAGTTTACATTACAACAGTAGGACTTACCCCCACAGATCCAAACATTCTCTTCCTAGTTCCATAGCTCTGAAAAGAACAGTTTTAAAAAAAATGCAATATAAAAATTATTTTTTCATTTATAGTTTATTTTCTTCTTTAATTAACTAATTACCACGAAGATTGATGTTGCAAAGAACCAATCTGAACCTCTATCAATTACTTGACATATCTGTGTGGCATAGAAAGGATTCTTAAAGAATCACCAATGATTAATCAATTACTTCTGTTTGGTATATTTCAATCAATATTGGAATCACCAACTACATGTATATCAATATCTTGGCAGTAATGTATTGTACAAAATATTGAAAAATTACCAAAATCTAAATCAATTATCATTTCAGCACTTTCATAAAGCCATTAAAGTTATTTCTAGGTTCCATCAACTTATTGATTGTGATACTAAATCCAACTTGCAAGGTCGGAAAAAATATGCGCAGGCATATGCTAAAAAAAAAAAATTGATGAGAAAGATGCAACTTTGGGGAATGTTTTTAAACCTGTTCAAGATGATCCTACCTTCCTGTGACCCACAAGAATATATATCCATCATCTTGTAAAGCTGGGACTGGCAACTTTCTCATTTCATCATCCTGCATTGTTCCATAGGGTAATTCCATGTGGATATCCCATGGTGGATCAGCCATGATAACCGCACATTTCCCAAGCACTGACATGTCAAACACTCGAAGATCACACTGGATCCACTGAAAAACAAAAAAATATGGTGACTCTAAAATAACAATAACATGTTGCCCAGCACAGTCATGTATAATTTCAACTTTCTGATCATGAATGCTATTCAAAGAATAACAACTGTACATTCTATCATGAAATTAAATTATCAAAGTTGGCTCCCCTCATAAATCAAGATCTTCACAATTTTTTTGATCAATCGTGCTATTACAAAATAACAAAATCATACAAAATGTCTTTAGTTAAATCAGAGAAATATAATACAATAGAGTGGGAACTAGATGAAATCTTGTGATACCACACAAACCACATGTTTTCAATTAAAATATTATTTTCTCAAAAATCAAAAAAAATTATTCACATTAGAAGTTATTATATATGTCTGTTAACTGAGGTGGAACAATTATGCTTACTATATGACTATATGAAAGATCATGAGAGATTTGGAACAGCCAAAGTGTACCTAAATATTTATTTTCCTAGACAAGGCAACTTTATCAAAAAGACAAAAATTGTATAATATTACCTGAGATAGGAGAGTATATGTATATTACCTGAGGTGGAACATGTCTTTAAATTAACTGTAGGTGGATCATATACGTATATTACCTGATGTGGTACATTGAACAGATATATCATGTTATGGAGGGGTATTTGCGAAAAATACAAGTCAAGGGAAATTTGGTCTCAAGACTGGTATTTTTCGCAAATACCCCTCCGTAACATGATATATCTGTTTAATTACACCGAATAGATTTTGATTGAAACTTTCTGTACAGATGAAGGTAAATCTTTTTTTTACTAGTAAGCTGTCTGAATCCATAAACATGTTTATGCATAATTTTGAGGATAAGTAGAGACTATCATAGTACCACGGGAGTTATACATGTACTTATACGCGTTACCGCTGTCTTTATGTAAGGTCATGGTATCTGTGTAAACGTCATTTTTATTCCATCATTAAATCGTTCACTTGTATAGACAGCTTTTTCCACTTTATATACACAACGCAATCCCAATATACGATCATGAGATTGGTGCCGTGCAGTTGTGTTGTCCGACATTTTTGTTTACAGTTTTCAGATTACCTCTATCAGTCAATATTGCTTTATCATGTTGCCTTAATAATCGGGATAGGATGAGAAAGGTTCCGAATAATTTTGGCGGGAAGAGGCTCGCGAGGGTAAAAAATGAATATCCAAAATGGCAAATACCCCGGCATAGAGAGGAATTTGAGGCATATTCACCGGCAGTGGTGAAAAACAGGCAAATTTGTTTGAAATGAGGAAAAAAGGTTAGAATATGCGAAAAATACACTAACTACCAACCAATCAAAATCCGGCATTCTTATATAAGGTGTAATTAATCTTTATATTACCTGAGGTGCGAGAGTATATGTATATTACCAGAGGTGGAACATAAATGACCCTGAGGTGGAAGATACACATATTGATTGAGGTTGGGGATTTTATGTATATTACACGAGGTGGAACATATATATTTTACCTCATCTGGGAGAGTATATGTATATTACCTGAGGTGGAAGAGTATATGTATATTACCTGAGGTGGAAACATTTGTACATCAGTATTTTCTATTTTCTTTGTGACAGACAATTCTTTGGTAAGTCCTAACTTAGCTTGGTATTCAACCTCATAATGTACATACTGAAACATAAAGAGTATACATTTCCAAAACCATTCTGACGAAGAGTAATAATACTGGATTGCTATTAACTTAATGTCAAGCCACAAATATTACATGCATATTCAGTACGAGAACAAATTAAACAACACATCAAGTAAAGTTATATTTAAGGTATTACATGTATATGTCTATCTACATTATTCAATTTGTGCATTTTATCAAAAATACTAACTAATACAGAAATTTACTTTATGATTTTTGTCTCATCTGCAATGCAGGTCACATCAATGAGATACAGATATATCTTTTCCTGCAGTGACAGTGTAGGCAACCTCATTCTTTAGATCTTTTAAAAGATCTAGTCCTCTTTGTCAACCAAGGCATTCAAAATCTGTAGCTTCTGATAATATTATCAACCAATAATTATCTTCTGATCTTGACCTAATTTTCATTGTTAAAGTTTTTATACTTCTTAGTAACTTACCACAGTTAGATAACAGTATTTGGTTTAAGGATTTATTCAAAGGTCGATAGGTTTTATTGAAATATTTTAATTTGTTCTGAAATTTTTTGAAAAGTCTGGTTCGTAGTGACTGTAAATAAAAGGTGTGGTAACTGGTCAACCATATACAAGTATGGTATGTTGATAAGACAAGAGGAGCACATCTCATTTCACACTGCACTGGCAGGTTAAATTTTTAAGGTCTGTTTCTCCTTAAACAACTTTAAAAAAACTATGGCAATTTTTTGGGGCATGTAACCTTTTGTGGCAGCTGATTGAAGTTACTCTTTCTTAAAACATAATATACCCAAAGGAAACCACTTTAGTACCTGAATGAATTAAGTAGACAGAAACAATGAGATGATATTACAGTGTACAATAATCAGAACATTAACCTGGAGAAACTTATTTCAAATTTTTTAATGCGTGGAGATACATTGCAACTGCATCCTCTCTTTTAAGACATCCTGTTTGGTAGCCTGATTCTGAGCAATTATTACCAGTATCTACATCATTCTTGACTTTCTCAATAAAAACTGACCGCCACAAAATAACCAATAGTGCTGAAAGTGATGTTAAAACATCAAAAATCAATCAATCATTCTCGACTTCAAATTATTCCAGCTTTCTTTCAATAATTGTAGTATATTGTGTACACATCATCTAAAAGCTATCTTCTTACTGCATTTTAAATTGAAAACTGAAGGCTATTAATCCCATGATCCTATTGTGTAATGTTACCTTGCATGTGTCCATATGGAAACAAGTGTTCAGGAAGGAACAATCACCAAGTGATTCTACAGAATATAAATATATATAAATAACAATAACATCAAAACAATAAACATTTGCATTGTATGTATACTTTATGCTCAATATAGATGTATAAATCCATAAACTAACATATCTTTATATTTGGTCATATATGTATTTTTACTAGAAAAGTTGAATGAGGAGAAACCTATAACTAAAAACAGCTACATTCTGTGTGTGCCTGTCCAAGTCAGGAGCCTGTTATCCAGTGGTTGATGTTTGTTACTGTATATCATATTCATTTTTTGTGTACTGTCTTGTACAGTTTGTTTTTGTGTTGTGCTATTGCACCACAGTCCCAAGTTCGGGGTGCCCCCAAACATGTTTAAACCCGCCAGATTCTGTATGTGCCTGTCTCAAGTCAGGAGCCTGTTATACAGTGGTTGTTGTTTGTTAAGTACTGTATATTATATTTGTTTTTTGTTCGTTGTTTTATACATAAATTAGGCCGTTGGTTTTCTCATTTGAATTGTTTTACATTTTGTTATGTCGGACCTTTTATAGCCAGCTTTGCAGTATGGCTTTTGCTCATTGTTAAAGGTCACAAGTCCACCTATATTTGCTAAGATCTACATCATTTGGTCTCTGGTGGATAGTTGTCGCAATTATACCACATCTATTTTATATTTATGTTATTACAAAAACAACTTCTAATATTTACCATCTGTATGTTTGTTGATAATTTTTCTAAAATGAAGTCTTTTACAAGGCTTTGATGTTTCCTTTAATCTGGAGCATTCTTCTCTGGTACCAAACTGACAAAATTCCTTCAGTTGGGCACCTGTCAATAACTCACCCCATAAAGAATTTTATTCAACAGTGTATAATGATTCTAACAATTTTACTGTTGCAATCAGTTTTATCAACACCTAGTAAAAAACCTATGTAACAAAAGATAAATTCAATTTCTACCAGTTAAATCTACAATTTACGTCTACAAAATTAAAAAATATGAATACTGACAGAGTTTATGTCTTATGAATATCTACTTGTTGAATATAAAATACTTTTTGATTTCTGAAATCATGGGGCGAAAAAAAATTGCCTTATCATATTTTCTCCTTGCAAAAATTTTAAGGTGAAACTTAAAATTTATTATAAATTTTTGAAAAATCTGGCATGAGACTAGGAAAGACAACCTGTGCAAACAAATCTTTAACTCAACTTGTTCTGACATTACAAAAGGATAAAAATAAAGATTTTGTCAAATATTAATATATATGTACTATTTTCCAGTGACTGTTCATGTACAAGTGTTGCATGTGTTAAACTAATTGACCAGAAGATATTTCAAGAAAGGTTACATGAAATATTGAGTAAATACAAGGACAGAACCAATATAAATACATGAACATGATAACATACCTCCTTGGGATTTGAACCTCTGAGTTAGGAATTGTTCCTGAAATACAAAAAAATATTTTTGTATTGTTTTGCAAAAATTGTCTTTTTAATCAATATTCTGAACATGCTATGTTATCATAAACTATTTTTGAAACCAAATAAAACTGATCTTGAGTAACTTGACCTTTATATTTAAAAATAAATTATTTGATTGAAGTTTTACCTTTGCTGTGGGTTTATCCAACAATTCTAAGATTTCTTCATTCAATTTCTTATTTTCCTTCTCCTTGGCAGATTCCATTGACAAAAGGCTCTGTAAACATACAACATACAATATAAAGTCACAATGTGTTCATAATGTAAACTAGCATACCTCAGTGTTCTCCCCCAGATATTTCATATAGTATCCTGGTAAACAGGGTAATTTGAAATACCATCTTGTTTCTAAGAAAGATAGCATCACATCCATAACATAATATATAACAATTTTGATTGTGTATTCTAGCTCCATATTTTTTGGTCCATCATTATAATTAAACACACAAGTTCAGATACAAAACATCCACAAATAATCACTAGCGGAACGAAACAAGTCCTGAAAGATCACTGATGATGGTCGTCTGTTTTAAATCTAATTATTGTAAATTTGTCATAATTGTCTTAATACTTTTAATTGTTGTAATTAATGAATTTTAATTCTAACAAGAGTGGACACACTGAAATGTCTCGCCTGTTTTAGTGTTCATAATTGAATTAATGTTGAAAGTAAAAAAAATAAGTTTATATAAGCTTTACATTAAATTAACATTTTAATGATGAATGAACATGAAGTCAAGTGAGATAAACCCTATCAGACAAACATGTAGGCCGTACAATCATTCCATACACCAAATTTATTTAACATATATTGCCTAAAGTATCTTAGAAACAAACCTCATTGAGGAAACTGAACTTTGACCAATGAACCATAAAATGAGGTCAAGGTAAGATGACACCTGTCAGACAGACATATACACATAACATTCATTCCATACAGAAAATTTTATGAACTTATCACTTATCTGCCAGTTGGAAATGTGAACCTTACGATCATTCTATACACCAAATATAGAAGACCTATTGGTGATAGAATTTGAGATATGGACTTTATCATGAAAACTAAATCTTGTTCACTGATCCATTAAATGATGTCAAGGTCAAATGAAATATGTCTGACAGATATGTGAACCATGCAAGGTACGCACATGCCAAATAAAGTTATCATTTTACTCATAATAATTGAGAAAATCACATTACAAAAACCATACAGTTTTTTTTCCAAGTAGTTGCTGGACCAAGAAAATGAGGTCAAGGACAATGGACATATGACTGACAGAAACTTTGTCACATAAGGCATTAGAAATATTAAGCTGTAAGTAATGAGATAATGACGCTGCTGCTGCCGATGCCCCTGACAACGCTGCTGCTGCCGCCCCTGCCGAAGATCACTATCATAGTGTCTTCATACTACAAATTGTATGGGTTATTATCCACGATATGAAAATATGCTGAATAACTGTGGTTAAGGTTAAATAACATAGTGATATACCATTGATATTGATAATTGTGATTAATATGGTCTTCTGCAAATCTATTGTTAGTAAATAGGACCTCGAACTAAGACATAGTGACTTGAAAAACAATAGCCAGGGATCTTCCTCTTCTTTCTGTTAATTTATGTAGCCACATATCCAAGTTAAGTTGCAATCCCATTGAATACATCCTGAAACCTATGTTCAAATTTTAGTCTTTTTTAGTTACCTTGACCTTAGGCTTAAATATAGGTCTGTAATGCTTTTACATTCATGTTGAGTAACATGTTTTTAGAAAAAACAGCATCATAAAATCACATGGGATACACTTTTGGCTAATAAATCACAGGCAAATATAGCAACAACATTTGAGTAAATAAAATCGCATTCTACAAATTATTTTTTTGAAACATTAAGTCAAATGACTACTAAAAGCAAACTTTGAAATTTCTTATGAAACAATTTTTCATCTAGATTTAAGGTTCATCAGAAGGGATTGACAAATATGGCCATTTTTTTTTTATTTCCTCTTGAGTACAGAAAAACCTGTGCACAAGGAAAAGTTTTAAGGCATTGTAGAAACTGGATAAATATTTGTCAATTCCTTGAGATGAACCTGAAAGACCCCCCCCCACCCCAAAAAAAAAAACAAAAAAAAACTAAAATTATCTTCAATCTTTGATCAAAATATTGTAAAAAGTCATATTTTCATATTATCTATTTATCTATTTATGTTGCTATGCTAAAATATTTTTTACTTATCTCAATACTTATCTTATTTCATATGTATCAAAAATCAGTAAATGTGATTCTGTTGTGCAAACAAAATTTCAAAAGTTCTTCAATCTGTACATATTCAGCCAATTAATCTTTATGAAGGGACTGGAGTGAACTGTATTCTATGTTAAACATTCATGCATGAGTGACCTTATTTTAACATTTTCACACCTTCCAATGTTTTTGTTAATCACGGTTTAATAATGATCCCTTAAAAGTTTTTATTATTTATTATCATTATTAATGTTATTTAAAGATTTTTATAAAATAATCTATTTCAATGTAAGTAATCAGCAGTTAAATAATAAAATACATTCCATACACCAAATATAGTTGACCTATTACTTATAGCATCTGAGAAGAAGACCAAACAACATAAACTTAACATTGACCAATGAACCATGAAAATAAGCTCAAGGTCAGATGAAACCTGTCAGACAGACGTGCACACCTTACAATCATTCCATACACCACATATAGTTGACCTATAACTTATAGTATCTGAGAAGAGGACCAAACAAGAGCAACTTAACATTGACCAATGAACCATGAAAATGAGGTCAAGGACAAATGACACCTGCCAGACAGACATGTACACCTTACAATCATTCCATACACCAAATATAGTTGACCTATTGCTTATAGTATTAGAAAAACAGACCAAAACACAAAAACTTAACATTGACCAATGAACCATGAAAATAGGTCAAGGACAAATGACACCTGCCAGACTGACATGTATCCCTTATAATCATTCCATACACCACATATAGCTGACCTACTGCTTGTAGTATCTGAGAAACAGACCTAATCACGTAACTTTAACCTTGATCACTGATCCATGAAATGAGGCTGAGGTCAGGTGAACCCTGTCTGATGGACATGTAGACGTTGCAAGGAACCCATATACCAAATATAGTTATCCTATTACTCATAATAAGATACAATCATTCCATACACCAAATATAGTTGACCAATGGCTTATAGTATTAGAAAAACAGACCAAAACACAAAAACTTAACATTGACCAATGAACTGTGAAAATGAGGTCAAGGTCAGATGAAACCTGCCAGACTGACATGTATCCCTTACAATCATTCCATACACCACATATAGTTGACCTATAACTTATAGTATCTGAGAAGAGGACCAAAACACAAAAACTTAACATTGACCAATGAACCATGAAAATGAGGTCAAGGACAAATGACACCTGCCAGTCAGACATGTACACCTTACAATCATTCCATACACCAAATATAGTTGACCTATTGCTTATAGTATTAGAAAAACAGACCAAAACACAAAAACTTAACATTGACCAATGAACCATGAAAATAGGTCAAGGACAAATGACACCTGCCAGACAGACATGTACACCTTACAATCATTCCATACACCAAATAAAGTTGACCAATGGCTTATAGTATTAGACAAACAGACCAAAACACAAAAACTTAACATTGACCAATGAACCATGGAAATAGGTCAAGGACAAATGACACCTGCCAGACAGACATGTACACCTTACAATCATTCCATACACCAAATATAGTTGACCAATGGCTTATAGTATTAGAAAAACAGACCAAAACACAAAAACTTAACATTGACCAATGAACCGTGAAAATGAGGTCAAGGTCAGATGAAATCTGCCAGACTGACATGTATCCCTTACAATCATTCCATACACCACATATAGTTGACCTATAACTTATAGTATCTGAGAAGAGGACCAAACAACAGAAACTTAACATTGACCAATGAACCATGAAAATAAGCTCAAGGTCAGATGAAACCTGTCAGACAGACGTGCACACCTTACAATCATTCCATACACCACATATAGTTGACCTATAACTTATAGTATCTGAGAAGAGGACCAAACAAGAGCAACTTAACATAGACCAATGAACCATGAAAATGAGGTCAAGGACAAATGACACCTGCCAGACAGACATGTACACCTTACAATCATTCCATACACCAAATATAGTTGACCTATTGCTTATAGTATTAGAAAAACAGACCAAAACACAAAAACTTAACATTGACCAATGAACCATGAAAATGAGGTCAAGGACAAATGACACCTGCCAGTCAGACATGTACACCTTACAATCATTCCATACACCAAATATAGTTGACCTATTGCTTATAGTATTAGAAAAACAGACCAAAACACAAAAACTTAACATTGACCAATGAACCATGAAAATAGGTCAAGGACAAATGACACCTGCCAGACAGACATGTACACCTTACAATCATTCCATACACCAAATATAGTTGACCAATGGCTTATAGTATTAGAAAAACAGACCAAAACACAAAAACTTAACATTGACCAATGAACCATGAAAATAGGTCAAGGACAAATGACACCTGCCAGACAGACATGTACACCTTACAATCATTCCATACACCAAATATAGTTGACCAATGGCTTATAGTATTAGAAAAACAGACCAAAACACAAAAACTTAACATTGACCAATGAACTGTGAAAATGAGGTCAAGGTCAGATGAAACCTGCCAGACTGACATGTATCCCTTACAATCATTCCATACACCACATATAGTTGACCTATAACTTATAGTATCTGAGAAGAGGACCAAACAACAGAAACTTAACATTGACCAATGAACCATGAAAATAAGCTCAAGGTCAGATGAAACCTGTCAGACAGACGTGCACACCTTACAATCATTCCATACACCACATATAGTTGACCTATAACTTATAGTATCTGAGAAGAGGACCAAACAAGAGCAACTTAACATAGACCAATGAACCATGAAAATGAGGTCAAGGACAAATGACAACTGCCAGTCAGACATGTACACCTTACAATCATTCCATACACCAAATATAGTTGACCTATTGCTTATAGTATTAGAAAAACAGACCAAAACACAAAAACTTAACATTGACCAATGAACCATGAAAATAGGTCAAGGACAAATGACACCTGCCAGACTGACATGTATCCCTTATAATCATTCCATACACCACATATAGCTGACCTACTGCTTGTAGTATCTGAGAAACAGACCTAATCACGTAACTTTAACCTTGATCACTGATCCATGAAATGAGGCTGAGGTCAGGTGAACCCTGTCTGATGGACATGTAGACGTTGCAAGGAACCCATATACCAAATATAGTTATCCTATTACTCATAATAAGATACAATCATTCCATACACCAAATATAGTTGACCAATGGCTTATAGTATTAGAAAAACAGACCAAAACACAAAAACTTAACATTGACCAATGAACTGTGAAAATGAGGTCAAGGTCAGATGAAACCTGCCAGACTGACATGTATCCCTTACAATCATTCCATACACCACATATAGTTGACCTATAACTTATAGTATCTGAGAAGAGGACCAAACAACAGAAACTTAACATTGACCAATGAACCATGAAAATAAGCTCAAGGTCAGATGAAACCTGTCAGACAGACGTGCAAACCTTACAATCATTCCATACACCACATATAGTTGACCTATAACTTATAGTATCTGAGAAGAGGACAAACAAGAGCAACTTAACATAGACAAATGAACCATGAAAATGAGGTCAAGGACAAATGACAACTGCCAGTCAGACATGTACACCTTATAAACATTCCATACACCAAATATAGTTGACCTATTGCTTATAGTATTAGAAAAACAGACCAAAACACAAAAACTTAACATTGACCAATGAACCATGAAAATAGGTCAAGGACAAATGACACCTGCCAGACTGACATGTATCCCTTATAATCATTCCATACACCACATATAGCTGACCTACTGCTTGTAGTATCTGAGAAACAGACCTAATCACGTAACTTTAACCTTGATCACTGATCCATGAAATGAGGCTGAGGTCAGGTGAACCCTGTCTGATGGACAAGTAGACGTTGCAAGGAACCCATATACCAAATATAGTTATCCTATTACTCATAATAAGATACAATCATTCCATACACCAAATATAGTTGACCAATGGCTTATAGTATTAGAAAAACAGACCAAAACACAAAAACTTAACATTGACCAATGAACCGTGAAAATGAGGTCAAGGTCAGATGAAACCTGCCAGACTGACATGTATCCCTTATAATCATTCCATACACCACATATAGCTGACCTACTGCTTGTAGTATCTGAGAAACAGACCTAATCACGTAACTTTAACCTTGATCACTGATCCATGAAATGAGGCTGAGGTCAGGTGAACCCTGTCTGATGGACATGTAGACGTTGCAAGGAACCCATATACCAAATATAGTTATCCTATTACTCATAATAAGTGAGAAATTTACATAACAAAAAAACTAAACTTTTTTTTCAAGCAGTCGCTGAACCATGAAAATAAGGTCAAGGACATTGGACATATGACTGACGGAAAGTTCGTAACATAAGGTATCTGCATACAAAGTATGAAGCATCCAGGTCTTCTACCTTCTGAAATATAAAGCTTTATACAAATAGTTTACGCCGCCGTCGCCGCACCGGATAGTAATACCTATGTCTCACTTTCTGCGACTTTCGTTGCAGGCGAGACAACAATTCATGACACGGGTTATGTTCTTCTCATATATTTTATGACGGTATAATACTAAACCCCTAACAGGAGGGATTGTGCCTGATATTCATATGATGAAGACATAATCTTTCAATCAGTTTAATTGAGGTCTGGAGCTGGCATGTCAGTAACTGCTAGTAGTCTGTTGTTATTTATGTATTATTGTCATTTTGTTTATTTTCTTTTGTTTCCTATTCTGACATCTGACTCTGACTTCTCTTATACTGAGTTTTACTGTGCGTACTGTTGTGCGTTTGTTTTTTCTACATTGGCTAGAGGTATAGGGGGAGGGTTGAGATCTCAAAAAACATGTTTAACCCCGCCGCATTTTTGCGCCGGTCCCAAGTCAGGAGCCTTTGGCCTTTGTTAGTCTTGTATCATTTTTAATCTTAGTTTCCTGTGTATAATTTGGAGTTTAGTATGATGTCCATTATCTCTGAACTAGTTTACATATTTGTTTAGGGGCCAGCTGAAGGACGCCTCCGGGTGCGGGATTTTCTCACTGCATTGAAGACCCATTGGTGGCCTTCGGCTATTGTCTGCTCTATGGTCGGGTTGTTGTCTCTTTGGCACATTCTCAATTTTATTAAATCTCACCTTGGGTCATTTAAATTCGTTTCATTTTGATATCATGTGAAATGTGTTCAGCACATTAATGTTTCCTTTGGACGATAATTACGGGTCGCCATAAACATGTCATTTTAACTGTTAAACAAACAAGTATATTTACAAAGCTCTAATCACTTATGAAAATGATTACCTTACATCAGAAAACATACGATTTGAATTTTTATCTTTAAGTGTGCATTTTTCAAAATTTCTTACTTTGAACTATGAGACATCATGGTCAATTTACATTAACTTTACATCGAACAGACTATGAAATTTACTTGACTTAACCGTGAATTCAAATCAACCGAGTTTGACTCATAAGAGGTAAAAATGCATTGATCAAACAGGAATTTGACACAACAAGGTTTGATTGTATTTCATCATTTGCTGATACACACCATTGATTGACATATTTCTACCATCTACAGTAGCAAAGAGAGATTGAGTAAAGCAAATTTTATATTTCACGGAAAACAAACTTCTCTTCATGCAAAGTACAGTATACATGTACTACTAATGGGATAACTGAAAGAGATTTCTCAGGACATTATTTAAACAATATACCTCAATGCTGTTATCTTTAACTTTGGATTGTTTCACTGTCGGTTCTTCAATACTGCTATCCCTGGAACAAATCAAATCATATCAATCCCAAAACTATACAAAATATATTTATTGAAAAGGTGTGGACAACATCAACAATAACGAAAACATTTAAAAGAATACGACTTTTGACTGACTTTTAGGGAAAGGAAAATCTATCAAATAAGCTATTTATAATTTTCTAGAGAATACCAAATTGAAGATAAAAAAAAAGCGTTACAACCAAAACCATGTAAGTGTTAACAAAGTGGTGAATTTTATTTTAATCTTTATCAAGAGCTATACTAAATAAGTATCTGCTGTCCAAATACTCAGGTTAATATCACATAAAGGTAGCTGTTTCAACTAAACAAAATTAATTACAATACCTGACAACAATGGAAACAGCTCTAAATAATATTCAAATATATTATATGTCATTTTGTAAAATGGGAATTTCATAGAGATCTTTTCCAAGTTGTGTATAAATGATGTCACGTGATACCTACCCGTCATGTTTCCTTTTCTTAGATACTTTGTCATCGCTTTCTTTTGTCATTGAAGATAGCTGAAATAAAACAAAATAATAAAAAAACTGTATACCGGTAATTGAGAAATATGTAGTAGCTTCTAATTTACAATTAAAACAATTATTTATAAGGAAGCAATGATAAATTAGCAATAACTCCAACCATCATCTGTGGAATTGATGGAAAACCTCATCATATCAAAATTGGATTGTCTTATTGCAGCAATCATCTATAACAGCTGAAGGATAATGTACAAATTCTGAATATTTCTTTGATCAGAACATTCCAAGGATGGATTTACAGCTTCACAATGATTGAACGGAAGCAAAAGAAGACAGCACCAATAACATGTTTATTGAAAATTGGATGTTCCTGAAAGCAAATCTTCATAAGTAGCAAGCGGGATTTTTGCAAATCTAATGTGGGACTTGCATTTACATATATTACATTGTTTTTAGGATATTGAGTACTGTAATTTTGCATATTTTTCACAATAGTCAGTAAGACCTACCTTAGATATATCCATACTATTGACAATAATTTTGCCTTGTTCATCTTCTGAGTTGTCATCTTTTACTGTTATACTGAAAAAATAATGCATGATTAAAATATTTTGAATGCGAGTAAATTTCCATTCATATACCATAAAATTGGTTTTTAAAGCAAACTGCAAGTAGAATGGTTTGATTGATTGATTGATGGCTAATTAAAATCTAGCAGCAAGTATTACATTCATATTCAGGATGTTATAGGAATGTACCGACCCTGTCTTGTACTACACTGACAGGCTGGATTGGACTCTTGAACGTGCTAGATCATAAGGTTACAATCAACATGAGGACATGTTATCCTACATAGACACATCATTCTAGCTGCCTATCAACCAGTCTTATCTTACTTCAAAGTGCCACTTGCTTGGAGGAAAAGCAGTAAATACAGATTTCAATGTTTCTAGTTTGTCCTGGCTAGAGATAAAACTCACAACTCTCTGTATTCAAGGGCAAGCACCCTTCCATGAGAACACCTTCCCATTACCAAAGAAACAGATAATATTAACAGGGGCAGTAAATTATTATTCTTTTTGCACATACTATCTGTTTTACTCTCTAGCTTCAGTAGCTGAATAATAATAATGATATGCTGACATATTTCAATCCCCTGTGACAATATTGAATTATTTTCTCAAGGTTTTCAGGAAAAAAAACGACAGGAAATCTATGTGTACGGACAGCAGAGGTATAGAACTTTGATGGGTTTTCCTTGGTGTCGCTCCATTGTTTAGCATTTTCGTTTACCCCACATCTCATTTTATACATTATGTTCAAACTTATTTCACCTACTTAATCAGCTGTTGCCCTGCAAATTTCTTAAGAAGTTCTTCCACAATATCAAGTTTAACAGTCTGTTTGAGTATTTTAGACGAATGTTCAGCTATAACACTAGAACTACATGGTATGTCTAGATCTATGTCACAGAGGGCCAACATGATTTTCTTCTCTAAGACAGGGTCTATCTTTGTAGGTTCTACTGCCTGAGTGGACTTTACTGGACTGGAAGAAGTAGATGGTATTGCTTTAACAGGACTGGCAGTTTCTGATTGGCTCTTTGTATCTGAAAAATTTAATAATTCATAATTTGATGAAAAATTAATTCAAAAGTTCTTGTCCAGAACTTTTATCTAAATTTAAATTTCAAATAACTCATTGGTGTAAATTCCGTTACAGGAATGATACCAGCTGACATTTACACAATAAAAAATACAAAAATAAACAAAGACAAATATACAGAGATATATTTTCTCAATGAAAAGAATCTCATATTGTGTATCTACATTGTGTAGAGGTGTGTAGTATTATAAAGCTATTACAATAAGATATTTAATACTACAACAGTTCTTAACAACATATATATATATACGCAAAAATTTCTTGCCGTCAGTGAAGATTTCATGGCAATATTGGATCACAAAGTTGAAAGGGAAATTTACAGATATTAACGAATAAAAATTTTGAGATATAAGTCATTTTTACTCAATAAAAGTACATTTCACTTCAGGAATTCGATTTGTGTGTCTTGTAAATAAAGACAACAGTAGTATACCGCTGTTCGAAATTCATAAATCGATTGAGAAAAAAACAAATCCGGGTTACAAGCTAAAATTGAGGGAAACACATCAAATATAAAAGGAGAACTACGACACAACAGAAACACAACATTAAAATGTAACACACACAGAAACGAACTATAATATAACAATGGCCATTTTCCTGACTTGGTACAGGACATTTTAAGAAAAAAATGGTGAGTTGAACCTGGTTTTGTGGCTAGCAAAACCTCCCGCTTTTATGGCAATGTTATATATAACATTAAAATGACAACATTACATGACAGGACTACAATACAAATAAATGGGCGAACATATAGGACAGAGAAACATACGAATAATAGCTAACAAAAGGTACCAGGTTTAAAATTTAATACGCAAGACGTGCGTTTCGTCCACACAAGACTAACCAGTGACGCTCATTTAGCCAAAGAGATCAACGCTAAAAAAAGGTGACGTCACATTTGAATTTCTGTAAGCAAGTTCTCTGTATTACTGAAAAATTATTACACCAGGGTTTTCGATATCACAAACTAGTCAAAACATTTACTAAATTTTATGATCGGTACAAGGACATCATTCGTAAATATAAATCAACATGCAGACATCTTATACGTTCAGGTATTTCACATCCAATATTTTATGGTAATATTCTTTACAAAGCACAAAAAAATGTCGGCATTCACCTCAAAAGCTAACCAAACCTTTAAACAGACTTATTCGGAAAGGATATAGTTACGATACTGTTGTCAAGTCATTAAGGATTGCATATTTTGGTATTAATATTGATTCACTCATAGGGGTCTTTGCATCGGAAATAAACACATTTATTCTAAATACAGTTGTTGGCATGAAACAGGTTATGTTCTTCTCATATATTTTATGATGGTATGATACTAAACCCCTAACGGGAGGGATTGTACTTGATTTTCATATGATGAAGACATAATCTTTCAATCAGTTTAATTGAGGTTTGGAGCTGGCATGTCAGTAACTGCTAGTAGTCCTTTGTTTATTTATGTATCATTGTCATTTTGCTTAGTTTCTTTTGTTACCTATTTTGACATTGGACTTGGACTCCTTTCAAACAGTTTTACTGTGCGTATTGCTATGTGTTTCTTTTTTCTACATTGGCTAGAGGTATAGGGGGAGGGTTGAGATCTCACAAAACATGTTTAACCCCGCCACATTTTTGCGCCTGTCCCAAGTCAGGAGCCTCTGGCCTTGTATGTTTTTTAATATTAGTTCATTTATATGTTTTGGAGTTAAGTGTGACGTCCATTTTCACTGAACTAGTACACAATTTTATTTAGGGGCCAGCTGAGGACCACCTCCGGGTGCGGGATTTTCTCGCTGCATTGAAGACCCATTGGTGGCCTTCGGCTGTTGTCTGCTCTTTGGTCGGGTTGTTGTCTCTTTGACACATTCCCCATTTCCATTCTCAATTTTATCCTTTATTATTAAAAAGGTAGATTCAGTTTTTGGGAGTTCTCAGGAAATTGTGGTAGCGCTATAAAACTATCAATCTTAATGAGAACAAGAGTGCACACGCTGAAATGTCTCGCCTTCTTTACTAATCATTGATATTATGTTGATAGTCCTAAATATAAAGCTTTATTACAACTGTCACATAAACTTAACATTAACCAAGTAAACTAAACATTGACCAATGAACCATGAAAATGAGGTCAAGGTCAGATGAACCATGCTAGGCAGGCATGTACAGCTAACAATTCTTCCATACAACAAATATAGTTGACCTATTGCTTATAGTTTAAGAAAAACAGACGAAAACACAAAAACTTAACACTGAGCAATGAACCTTGAAAATGAGGTCAAGGTCAAATAAAACCTGCGTGACTGACATATAGATCATAAAATATTTCCATACACCAAATATAGTTAAACTATTGCATATAGTACTAGAAAAAAAGACCAAAACTCAAAAACTTAACTTTGACCACTGAACCATGAAAATGAGGTCAAGGTAAGATGACACCTGCCAGCTAGACATGTACACCTTACAATCATTCCATACACCAAATATAGCTGACCTATTGCATGCAGTATTAGAAAGAAAGACCAAAACTCAAAAACTTAACTTTGACCACTGAACCATGAAAATGAGGTCAAGGTCAGATGACACCTGCCAGCTAGACATGTACACCTTACAATCATTCCATACACCAAATATAGTAGACCTATTGCATACAGTATAAGAAAAACAGACCAAAACACAAAAACTTAACTATAACCACTGAACCATGAAAATGAGGTCAAGGTCAGATGACACCTGCCAGTTGGACATGTACACCTTACAGTCCTTCCATACACCGAATATACTAGACCTATTGCTTATAGTATCTGAGATATGGACTTGACCACGAAAACTTAACCTTGTTCACTGATCCATGAAATGAGGTCGAGGTCAAGTGAAAACTGTCTGACGGGCATGAGGACCTTGCAAGGTACGCACATACCAAATATAGTTATCCTATTACTTATAATAAGAGAGAATTTAACATTACAAAAAATCTGAACTTTTTTTTCAAGTAGTCACTGAACCATGAAAATGAGGTCAAGGACATTGGACATGTGACTGACGGAAACTTCGTAACATGAGGCATCCATATACAAAGTATGAAGCATCCAGGTCTTCCATCTTCTAAAATATAAAGCTTTTAAGAAGTTAGCTAACGCCGCCGCCGCCGCCGCCGCCGCCGCCGCCGCCGTAGCCGCCGCCACCGCCGCCGGATCGCTATCCCTATGTCGAGCTTTCTGCGACAAAAGTCGCAGGCTCGACAAAAACTATTTTTAAAAATGTCTGCAGTTTGATAATGCTCCTAAGCCCTATTGAGCCCTGCATGTACTAAACAAGAAGAAAACCTTATTGAATTAATTCATTCTGCAGCAATTGGGTAAAATGCATCAGGGTGCAAATAAAAATTTGTCTAATCAACCCAATTTAGAATCCAAGTTTAAATTCTATTAAAAAAAAAAATTGTAGAAAAAAGTCAGTTTATCATAGTTGATTATTTGATGTTTTATAAAGTTTCAAATTTTGTAGCTATTTAAACTAAGCTACAATTTCCTGAAAATAATACAGGTTTTTTTTATTGTACTAGTAAATTAAAAAAAATAGTAATAAAGCATCACACATTTTGAAACATAGATCAAACAGTCAGGGTTTAAGCTAGGATTTTGAGGGCTTTAGTCACTTTTGCGCGAGATGAAAATCAACATTATTTGTGATATGTATTACAGCAAATACTAGGTTTTCCCATTCATATTATGATATTGATTTTTACCCTCATTTTAATACAATCATATGTTTATCTTTTAATTTTTTTAAACTCTCTTTGTCTACATCTTTAGGGAAAATAATATAAAAACTTAAACCACTGATTGTTGCAGAAATTTAAAGAATGTAAAACTGCATGTAAAATGCATTATTTGTGTATCGTTGTCCAGAAAATACAGACATAAAATGTGAAATACAATAAACTAAAATTTATGAAATCAAATAAGAGGAAAACGTAACTGAAACGTGAATAAGTATACATCATTTTATTTTGTGTATTGCAGCATTGAACGATATTTATCATGTTTATACATAGTTTAATGTTGATTAAAGATTAAAAGTAATTTTAAAAAGACAATGTTGAGTTCAACAGGTGTTCACTATTTATAATGATTTACAACTAATTGTATAGTCTGATGCGTGTATTAAGTTGAAAGTGTTAATTTGATGTTAGGTCAAAATAAATTGTGTGATTCCTATTTCACCTAAAAAAAAAATAAGTAGGGTTGATAGGTAAAACATTGTATTTGTTGTCAGCAGAAAAAAGGTTCCAAATCAAAATTAAATCATCTGATGCGCCACATTTTCCCTGCTTCTTTGATATTTAGAATAGTATTTAAATCTACAGCTTTTTTTATTTTCTGTTTTAGTTCTGGGTCAGAAATTTGAAAATAAACTTTAATGCAAATTTTATGCATTTCATGGATCAAAATAGGAATATGTTCTTGCCAATGAATCATTTTAAACCAAAAATGGCAGTGAAAAATGTGGCATGGTATGTTAATATGTCATGTATGTAGGGCCTTGTTCAACCTAACAACGTAAACGACACACAGGGTAAGTGTGGGAGCAGATTATTACCCCTTGAAAACATTGTGAACCGATGCTAAGCAGAGGTTGATTATGATTTTTCAAGAGTTACCCGTAATACTCTGCCCTTGCATCCTCTTCATTTAATAAACAGATGTGTTTTTATGTTAGACAGAATGTGATCTTGAAGATTGGTTGGTTCTGACAATATTAAAATTCCAGGTTTTGAGAAGAGTGAGAATGCGAAATCTTTTGTCTTAATCTATGGCAAATAAATTGCAGATATAAATATGACATGAATTTTTTTCCTTTTCTTGTATAAATTGTTATAGGACCAGCCATAGAAAATATAAAAGGATTAAAGTAGACATGGTGCTGGGGAAAATTCATTTATAAATGAACATGAATCATACACCATGTCTGCCTACTGGGGAAAGCTTCTTTATCTCTTTCTCGTTACACATTGTCTGCCACCTTGCCATCATTAACTCAAAAGCTCAAAGGCATTGACAGCCATTAATGTTGCGTCCTGATCACAATTCTGTACAACATTTATAAGGAATTTTTTAACAACAAAAGCTGGATTGATTTAAGCAGTAAATTAACACAATTTACTATAAAACTGTCTGTCCAACCTGGCATGATTCTGACTTTTGGTCCAAAGAAGTTAAGCAAAAAGTAAAACAACAAAAATACCGAACTCAAAGGAAAATTCAAAACGGAAAGTCCCTTAACCAATTGGCAAAATCAAAAGCTCAAACACATCAAATGAATGGAAAACAAATGTCATATTCCTGACTTGGTACAGGCATTTCCTTATGTAGAAAATGGTGGATTAAACCTGGTTTTAAAGCTAGCTAAACCTCTCACTTGTATGACAGTCGCATAAAATTCCATTATATTGACAATGTGTGAACAAAACAAACAGACATAATAGTTAAAAATGTCAAAAATAGGGGTACAGCAGTCAACACGTTATAATCTCACTCACTATAAAAACAAACAAATAAATCAACAAAGAAAAACAAAATGGCATATAGCAGTCAGGAGTACTACTTGTACAAATGATCTTTATTTACTTGAAGAAGTAAATAATAATATACTTATATAAGTTAATTATAACGTTTGAATAATCTCCCCTTAATTTTATCAAAAATTTACTTGTATAAGTAATTTTTTTTTACAATCCAACAAAAATTCTCAAGTTTTGAGATGTAAAAACATGCCTTTAAAAATTTTTCTCAGGCTAGCTCATAATTTTTTATTAGAGGTCCAACCCTGAACAGTTGGGGCAAAAATGGACACAATATTCAAGCTTGATACAGGTCTGAATTTGGATTGTAATTAAATATTTGACACATTATAGGTTTCTGACACAGAATAAATGTAGTCAAAGAACTTGAAATTGGTTGTATGATTTGAATTTATATTCAATTGAAGATTTCTTGCTGTTGTGCAATACACTGTGCTGTTGGGCAATACTTAGTAAATCTGTTTTCAGATTATATACAAAGAATTAGCAAAATAAATTGTGACCCCCAATTTTTTTCTTGGAAAATTGACGATTTCTTAAATCTTGAGGGAAAAAAAATTGACCCCCCTAAAAAAAATTTTTTTTTTTACCCGCCAAAAAAATAATATTTGAAGAGAATTTTCTTTTGAAAAAAAAAATGTTTACCCCCCCCCCCCCCCCCTTTCCAAAAAAAATAATTTTGAAGAAATTTTCTGTTTGTAAAATGTGGTACAAATTAAGAGACATCCATACACTTAAACACAAGTTATTGTCTGAAACTAGAAAAATGCTTGTTTTAGACCCTTTTTGGCCCCTAATTCCTGGGGTTTGGGCAATTACCCCTAAAATGAATCCCAACCTTCTACTTGTGGTATTGAACCTTGTGGTACAATTGTCCGGAAACCAAATGTCTTCGGACAACGCTGACGGCGACGATGAGGTGATACCAATATACGACCACAAAATTTTTTTGCAGTCGTACAAAAATCTGAATGTCTAAGGGACATAACTAAGCCAAAAATAATTTTGTATTAAGATATACTTATAAAAGTATCCTACAAATTTACTTACATAAGTATACTAATATTTACTTCTTTCCTACAACAGTTTACATACTTTCAACCACGCTCTAATATTAGTTGTTTTTATCAATCATTTTGAAGATCAACAGTATTCTAAAAGAATAATTGGATCCGGAAACACAGAAAAATCCAGATTTTTTTTATATCGGCAATAAAATGTTTAGGGTTCGGCCAGAGGAGGACGACACTCTGCACACGGCACGCAGATTTGTCTTATATTATCGATCGGTCGCGGAGGGGGTTTTGTCTCATTTATATCAAACTACTCGTGGTGTGGACATCACCGTTAATGACACCTGGACAAGCGAAATTTGTTGAATCAATTAAAATAAAACAAGTAATATACAGAAGGGCTGATCATGCAATATACATGTACTTTGTACATACATAATAAACAAATTTGTTAGTTATTTCTTGGTAATAAACATATTTATACCCAAACTGACTGTTTATTACCAAGGGCTAATTTCGACATCGATAATCACTGAATTCTCAATTTATTCAGTCCGTTTTAAGTTTTTAATCGGGACAAAGTTTTATAAAATACTAAATTTTAAATATTGCATTATTTCGTCATTTGTCAGTCATTGTCAGTAAACAAAACAGAGATAACATTAGAGAGAAGGCAATTAAGCAATCCAATACACAAAAAGTGCACAATTCAATTATGAAAAAACTATATTTTTTCATGATGGTTATTCATAAGACAAAATTTTCATTTTGTTTTCAAAATAATTAAAATACATAAGAGTTTATATGCCTAAAATAACATAATTACTCGCAGATTTGACAAATATTTTTGATATTTTACTTACCAGAAATCATATTTTAGCGACTTATTACGAAGCAATGGCTGGAGACTTAAGGAGACTTAAGAAAATTTAAAATGTTTGAATAGTGTTCTTTGATTGACATAAATTTGAATGATTTTCACGTACTGACATTTGTAAAATTTACAAAAATCTGAGCCTTGTGATTTTGCAGAAATCGAATAAAATTTCCCGCCATTACAGTGCATTTCTTTATTGATAGAATTTACTTTAAAGATAAAAAAACATAAAGAAAATATTTCATATAAAGTGATCTTTTTTCATTGATTAATCTTTTTATTTCAATACTTTCTATATTTTCTGCGAGTGCAAGAGAGTATATTTGATATAAAAACATGAACAAATCGATCTTTTCCAGATTGAAAATTGTCTAGGGATGCTAAAATAGTACCATGTGACCTACAAAAATTTGCACACAGCACCTAAGGCTGTCGCCCCTCCTCTGGGGTTCGGCGTTGGAAACAGAGGTAGGGTTGGACACTGGAAAAACACAATTTATTTACTTTGGCCTTATTGTAGCAATTAAAATAGGGACTATTATTTTAAATAATTAAGTGTTAGTCTTCTTGTCGCTAAATTAGTTTTTTGTCGCTAAATTAGTCTTCTTGTCGCTAATTAGTGTTCAGAATACAGAATACTAGCGTCAATGAATCAAAATAAGATAAAATATGGGTCAGATATTTGGTGCACTACTTTTCAGTAGCAAAAAAAAGAATAGTTTCAATGAGAAATACACAATGACATTTCACCTTCACTACTTGTTGTCGGTGAAATGCTGGACTTGGTGATTTCGGCTGCAATTCCTTCTCTTTCTTTTCGTCTCTGGAGCATTTTTGCTCTCAGGCTGCTCTGTTTGCTTTTGATAGCTTGGATATCGCTCCATGCATCTGAATCTGACATGGCTGTGTTTAAAAATCTGTATCGTAAATAGGTAAATGGTTATACGATCTCAATTTTTTTTTATATTTGATCGGTGTCATTTATCTGTAAATTAAGCAATGAAAATTTTATCGATTTGAAAGCGCTAAAAAGAACAAGATGAATACTAACTGGTTTCTTGTTACTAATTTTGTTTCTGATTTGGCTCTTAAACAACAAAAAAAACAGTATAAAGTAGGAAAACATTGACAATGGCGTCACATGGAAGAGCACACGGCGTTCCCCACGGTTGGCCTAAACAATCTAATACCGCATCCTTCCCAAAATATGGCACTGCAAATCCTCTCATCACTCTCGATAGACCAATTAATTTGTAAGCAATTTAGTAAGAAAGGTTCTTGTGTCTTTTAATTTATCGTTCAGAAATTCGTCATCTTTCTGATAATCGGAATTCTCCACTGGCCCTGGTGATTTTGAAGCACTAGAAGCATAAAAAGTATTCATAATCCGCAGACTTTACTTATCTACTTGCTGCCTTGTTAGGGTTTTCAATAAGCATGGGCACCTGGTGAAATTTCCCCATTTCAAATTAAGGAAAATTATAGCCAGTTCAAATTGTGTTTCCAAAGGTTTCATGTCGATCCGGCCCCACGTCGATCCGTCCCACGTCGATCCGGCCCAACGTCGATCCGTCCCCAATAAAAAAATATATTTATAAGGAATAAAAATAAAGATATATATTAATTGTAATTCATAAATGTTTATGAATTTTATTATAATGTAAAAAGCAAAAAGGTGTAAAAAGGTGTACGGTAAAAAAAATGGCCTTTGACAAATATTTTCTTTAGATGAGTATAAAACAAGTAGGTTGATTATGTTTTCATTACAAGTTTTCAAGATTATTGGGTATAAATATAATAAAAACGTATATAACAGAATTTAGTACAATTAACAGACATCAACATTAATCAGCAGTAATTAGCATTTTCTTTCAATTGACTGTGGTCTTAACAAGTCTTTCATCCTGTGTAATAACAAAATTAATAGTTACATACACAACGGTACAAGCCGATCCCCAAGCTGATACATACAAACTTTGTTTTTGTTTTAAGTTCTTAAAACTTCTCAAATTGAGAAATGTAGCTATTCTGTGTGTGAATTAAATAAAATAAAAATCGCCATGACATTCAAAGTTATCATGGAAAATAACTTCATATTAATATGTTGAAGCTGCTATACAAACAGACACAATCACACTCAGTTTCGTATCGATTTAGAATAATTCTTTGACTGGTACACCAATACTTCACTTACCTGTTGTCATCCATCATCGATACTTTTTGCAAAATCTATTTATACTGTTAAAAATCCTCCAAAGTCAATATAGTTTATTCATATTTTATTATGGGGCCGGATCGACTTTGGGCCGGATCGACTTGGGACGGATCGACTTGGGGCGGGATCGGTTTGGGGACGGAACGACCGGATACCTTTCCAAATAGAAATATCAACCACCATCCGATAAAGGAGAATCCCTAGATCAACTTCGTATCTCACTCAATAGAGTCTTATGCAAGAAAACGAACTCAAATATTTGGGTTTAAGTTCAAGTTCAAAAGCTTTATTTATAGACGAGATCATTATACAGAAAACATGATCTTTTATATCCTCTTATTACAAACAAAACATCTAAAACATGCAAGTTTAAAACAAAGCAAGCATGCTACACACACAAGAGCTACACAAAGCAAATCATAGTACATTGAAGCATACACACACAATATACATGACATGAAGAAGTTAAATATGTTATACCATGCAGAAATATTAAAAGTACCATAAGCAACTCAATATTTAAAACATATAAAGCACTTTGAAACACATAAGTAATTAAACCACATTATGCAGAAAAAAAGCACTAAAAATTAAAGCATTAATTTTTTGCAGGCATTGCATTGGCATGAACTACCATTCTAGGTAACAATAAGTTTAGAAAATTGGTTAAGTTGTTTTCATCTCTAAAACTCTGGGGTAGTTCTTTCCATAATTTTGCATCTGTGTATCTAAAAGAATTGATGCCATAGCTTCTTGTTCTCACCTGGGGCTGTTCAACTGTATTTTTATGTCTTAAGGAATATTTGTGATTTTTATACGACCGCAAATAATTTGGGGTCGTATATTGGTATGATGTTGGCGTAGTCGTCGTCCGAAGACACATTGGTTTTCGCACTAAAACTTTAGTTTAAGTGAATGGATCTCTATGAAATTTTACCATAAGGTTCAATACCACAAAAGGAAGGTTGGGATTGATTTTGGGGGTTATGGTACCAACAGTTTAGGAATTAGGGGCCAAAAATAAGCAATTTTCTAGTTTCCTGACAATAACTTGTGGAAGGGTGTATGGATCTCTCTGAAATTATACCACAAGTTTCCATATCACAAAGGGATGGTAAGGATTTGCTTTGGGGGGTTATGGCTCAAACCGTTTAAGAATTAGAGGCAAAAAAGGGGGAAAACAGCAAAGTGTATTGCACAAAAGCAAAAAATTGAATATAAATTCAAATCATATAACCAATTCTAAGTTCTTTGACTACATTTATTCTGTGTCAGAAACCTTTTATGTGTCAAATATTTAATTACAATCCAAATTCAGACCTGTATCAAGCGCGAATATTGCGTCCATTTTTGCCCCAACTGTTCAGGGTTGGACCTCTGCCGTCGTATCCAGCTGCACTTGGCGAAGCAATTTATTTATATTAATCAAATTATGTAAATAAGATGGACTCTTTTTGTGTATAATTTTAAAAGTTTTTATAGCTATTGCTCATATGAGCTATCATAATCCTCATAAACAAATCTCAAGGCTCTCTCTTGGAATTACTGTGTTTTTCTCACTACAAAAATGCCAGGTGACTGGGCAATAACTAAGATTAGACAAAATTAAAGAATAATGAATTGTTAGACGACCAAGTCTATTCAGATATCTACCAATACGTTTTAGAACATTAAGTTGACAAGAGGCCTTCTTACAAATCTCAGATATACATGTATGTTTATCAAAATTTAATCTGTAGTCTAGTGTGACTCCCAGTAGCTTTACATCATTTCCACAGTCTATTCTATTTCCTTTAAGATTAAAAACAATATCATGATTAATTAAAAGTTTTTTTGCCAATTGCCAGAGCTTGAAATTTATCTGTATTAGCTTTCATTAAATTGTAATCAAACCAGTCCAACATTTTAAGACTATCACTTTCTAAATTTTTTATGACATTCTGTATATCAAAATCTGCATAGGATAAGGTGTTGTCATCCGCATAATTATATATAAAGTACTATTGTCAACTACACCCAAAATGTCATTTATGAATATAGTAAAAAGCAAAGGTTTAAGTATGGAACCTTGCGGAACACCTTTGAACATAATTTCAAAATTACTACAAATATTATTAATCTTTACACATTGTTTTCTGTTTTGTAAGTAGCTCTGTAATAAATCTATAAAACTATTTGATAAACCATAAGTTTTCATTTTTAATAATAATAAGTCATGTGGCAAACAGTCGAATGCCTTTGATAAGTCCATCAATATTGCTGCGACAAATTTGTTATTGTCCAGGGCCTTCTTCCAATCCTCAATAACTTTAAGGAGTGCAGTTTGACACCCATATCCTGATCTAAATGCAGATAACAGGGGGTTAAAATGTTTTTCAAAAAACTCAGCTAGTTGATCAAAAATAGCACATTTGTAAAATTAGGATGTACTTGGCAACACACTAACTGGGCGATTATTTCCTTTGTCCAGCATATTGTTTTTCCTAAATAGTGGTTTAACCTGGGCCACCATTAACTTATCTGGAAAAACTGAAGTTTTAAAACTTTTATTGATTAGTGTTTTAATAGGACTAATAATTATAGGTTTTGCCAATTTTAGCATTTTGGCTGAAATACCATCATACCCTGTAGCCTTTTTATACGCCCGTTTACGGGATGTATTATGGTATACCATTGACTGTCTGTCCGTCCGTCTGTCCGTCCATCATCAACATGTCGGACATTAACTCATAAAAGCTTTAACTAATATTCATGAAACTTTAATGAATTGTTTATATTTATTGACGTGAGCTCCCTTTCGTTTTTTATAAATTTCAGATCTACCGTTTCTGAGTTTTTGGGTTTTATTCATTAAAAATGGGGGGATTTTCCCGTTTTCCGACAATAACTCAAGAATGCTTCACCATCTTGCAAGAAATTTTGGTGAATTGTTTATATCTATTGACATGAGCTGCCTTTCGATTTTTATAAATTTTAGATTTTACTTTTCTGAGTTTCAGGGTTTTATTCATAAAAAAAGGGTGATTTTCCAGTTTTCGGACAATAACTAAAAAATGCTGTCAGCAGTTCTCATGAAACTTTGGTGAATTGTTTATATCTGTTGATGTAAGCTCCCTTTAGAATTTTATAAATTTTAGATTTTACATTTCTGAGTTATGGGGTTTTATTCATTAAAAAAGGGGGGATTTTCCAGTTTTTTTTACAATAACTCAAAAATGCTTTCAGCAGTTCTCATGAAACTTTGGTGAATTATTTATAGCTATTGATGTAATCTCCCTATTGATTTTCATAAATTTCAAATATGACATTGAGAAGAAATTGAACTTTATTTGTTTATAGTCTGACAACAGATTTACTAAGTATTGCGCAACAGCATAGTGTATTGCACAACAGCAAGAAATCTTAACCAATTTCAAGTTCTTTGACTACATTTATTCAGAAACCTATAATATATCAAATATTTAATTACAATCCAAATTCAGACCTGTATCAAGCTTGAATATTGTGTCCATTTTTGCCCCAACTGTTCAGGGTTGGACCTCTGCGGGCGTATCCAGCTGCGCTCAGCGAAGCAGTTTATAGATTTTACGTTTCCAAGTTACAGGGTTTTATTCATAAAAAAGGGGGGATTTTCCAGTTTTCGGACAAAAACTCAAAAATGCTTTCAGCAATTCTTATGAAACTTTGGTGAATTGTTTGTATGTATTGATGTAAGCTCCCTTTAGAATTTTATAAATTTTACATTTCTGAGTTATGGGGTTTTATTCATTAAAAGAAGGGGTGATTTTACAGTTTTCGAACAATAACTCAAAAATACTGTCACCAATTCTCATGAAACTTTGATGAATTGTTTATATCTATTGATGTAAGCTCCCTTTTTATTTTCATAAATTTCTAATATGACATTGAGAATTAATTGAACTTTATAAATTCAATTCATATAACCAATTTCAAGATCTTTGACTACATTTATTCAGAAACCTTTAATATGTCAAATATTTAATTACAATCCAAATTCAGACCTGAAACAAGCTTGAATATTGTGTCCATTTTTGCCCCAACTGTTCAGGGTTGGACCTCTGCGGGCGTATCTAGCTACGCTCAGCGAATCAGTTTATTAATTTTGGAAATATTTTCTATATTCTGAGATATACAGACCATAAGTTTATTATAAGGACAGGAACATTGGGCTTCATAACCTAATCACTGAGCAAGGTTCCGACATAGTTACAAACAACGTAAAATCTTGTTTTTGCAGATTTTATAATATTGTAAATAATCAACAACAACTTATGCAATCTTAATTGTCATCATATACAGTAATACACAATGTAAACATGTGATAAAAGGCCACATTGAATCCACAGAAACGTAGACACAAAAATTGAGAGGTGCCCTTTCCCAACCTCAAAGAGTGCCCTGCCCTCTACTTGCATCCTGCCCCTTTCAATTTCTAGCTGGAGCACTTATATGTTATATCATTTTTTTCAGGTATCCTTTAACTAACTACACATTTGGTACAAAGGAACCTCTTTATGAAAAGGATAGTTCTGTTCCAGCCAGATTTGCCAGGATGAGGGAAGATTTTGAGAAGATTGGTATGAGACGATCTGTTGAAGGTGTATTAATTGTACATGAACATGGTCTTCCACATGTCCTCCTGTTACAGCTTGGTACAACTTTCTTCAAATTGTAAGTTTAAAAAACAATGTATAAACTCAGTATTTTCATTGGTCCATATGATAATTATTTGAACAGAAAGTTGAACAAGGTGTTTTCTGATCCTTGTAGTGCAGTGACAGGATGTTCAATTAGATTGAAAAATGAAGCATTTATTAATATCACTAGGAAGACGATTCTAATATACAATGTTATCATCTTGAATGGACATAATATGAATTAATAAAAAAAAAAGAGATGTGGCATGATTGTCAACAAGACAACATTCCAGCAAAGTTTACAGGACAAGGATATAAGCATCTACAGATCACCAAAGGTCCTTCAACAATGAGTAATATTTATACCCTATAGTAAGCTGTAATTCATAAGGAAAAAAAAACCAGCCTGATTTTTAAAAAAAATCATTCAGAAGCAAGTTTAAAATCTGTTGTACTTAAAACCACATGTTCACACTACCACTAAACACAGTAAAAGAACTGAGGTTGTCTATGTAGTGTGTCAAATCTCTAAATGTCAAATATTAATGAATTATAAATTACATTTGTTTTTTCAGACCAGGAGGTGAATTAAATACAAGTGAAGATCAAGTTGAAGGCCTTAAAAGATTACTTACAGAGGTGAATTGCATATTTAAGACTGGACAAAATATTTGGTAACATTTTACCAGAGTTGAGCTTTTTATATAAATATAATATTTACATAGCCTAATGGAAAAGAATTATGAACAATATTACAATGAGTTTCCAAGTGTCTTGTAAAGCTGTCACATATAAGTCTTACATAGTTCATTAGAAAAGAATATGGACAATACGGATATAAATTTGCAAATAAAAAAATGGGAAGTAACTAATAGAATTATTTTCAATCTAAATCTCAATTTGATAATTCCCTCAAAGTTTCTAAACTATAAGCATGATAAAAAATGCAGTACAGTTTGTCAGTATTATAATTGATAAACCATATCATAGAAATAAGGGGAATAACTCGTTATGTATTATTTATGGTGGAATATACTTAGCCATTGAACTATAAATATGTATTGTATTGTTTACAGACACTTGGTAGACAAGATGGAGGGACCATGGAATGGGCCATAGAAGATACGATAGGAAACTGGTGGAGACCAAACTTTGAACCACCACAGGTGAGAAATTATAAAAAAAACAAAGATGGAAAAAATTTGTAAAATTTCTTAATTTAGAAGGATGTGAATGTATTTTGAATGTAAGTGATTTGTTAGTTTTACAACAAATTGTTTTTTAATGAAGTTTAAACTTATAAAATTCTTTTTAAGAATGGTGTGAATGTATTTTTGGATCATGTTGTATACTCATGTTTTTTTCTCTCCAGTATCCATACATACCAGCCCATATAACAAAGCCAAAAGAACATAAAAGATTGTTTTTAGTACAGTTACCAGAAAAAGGTCAGTAAAGTATAATGAACTTTTATTAAAAAGTCAGCTTCTTTCATTTCCTCTACCATCATCACAGAAACTGCATTTGATGAGCTCTTGAAGATTATTGGTGCCTGTTTTATTTATCATACTTTTTGGTAAGCTTATATACAAATTTGCTGGAAATCGTATGCTCCTTTATAATGTTTTACGAAAAATCCTGAAAAGTAATGAAAAAAAGAAAAGAGTTTTATTATGCTGGAGGTCATTCGGTACGTTAGTCACATGACCATAAATCGATTCTTTTCCAAACATATTTAAGTTGGGACTACATTGTGTTACCACAAAATAGAGGAAAAAATATCATCAATATGGTTAATATGCGAAAGTAAGTTAAGATGTTTAACTTTGAGAATTATTGTAAGAATGCATTTGTTTCAAATTGTACACAAAAAAAACACTTTTTACTGATTTTATTTCCAAATTTTTATTATTTCATGAATTATGATTGATGATTTAAGCTGTGAGTATTTGTTTATGGATCTACTGATATACGGCAGTGTTCTCCCCAGGCCGATATGACGCTGCTGTGCCGCAGCGCCTTCATTATATTTTTGTAGATCCCGCAGCGTCTTAATTGGCCGCTGTCCCTTAATACTTGATCCCGCAGCATGTTAATTTTCACATTTTCATTATAAATGTTGGTTAAAATTGTCAAGTTACTGATCACGTCAGTGTTACGCAATAACTGATAATTAGTTTTACCTGAGCCACGCTTATCTCAGCCTTATCAGGTAATAGGAGCGTAAATGATCATCAAGAAGATAAATAAATAGATCGCAAATACATTGTATTTACGCATCGTGTGTGTGATCACTTGACCATTTATATAACAAATTTTTTCATTTGTTGAGAAGAAGAATCTATTTAAACACAACCAATGAACGTGTTGAATACACATGATAAATTTGAATACACATTGCTAAAGATATTTACGATGAAAACTATGAATGAAAGTATTAGTAGTTGAAAAAATTAAAATAAAGTTTGATTAAAGATAACGAGGAGTGATTTACTTTAATAGAAAGTGAAAAAATGTTGCTTGCAAGGTAAATTCATCTGAAACTGTCATATTTTTAGAAATAAAATGATCATTGAACATCGATCGTGAATCCGTGTGTCGGGAAATATGTGACAATCAACACAGGTACAGAATCGCCGCAGCTTCTGTATAATGTCACTGGTAAATAATTTCAATGGTTTTAACTTTAACAAATTTTGTAAAGTTTCGTTTATATCTATCTGCCAAAAATAGGATTAAACAATAATACGTACGGAAGCGTAATGTGAAACTACGGAAACTGGTCAGCTGTTCATTTATAAAAAAAAATTGTTTTAAAAAGTTGTATACCAAATATCTTAACCATATTCGATTTTATTAATTCTGAATGAACATGTTCTCTGCAAATAACAAAGGGGTGAATTATAAGCAAAAGGTAGATGATGGAAGTAGAAGTTTTTTTCAGACCAATGACTTCTAATGAAAAGGGGAATACACCTCCACCTACACTGTCAGTATAATCAGATTTCATTGCTTCTCCTAATCCCAACCAAGGTCAAGTTTTAGCAATTGATAAAAGCAAGCACCGTGTTTCTGGTTTCATTGACAAGTGGCTGACTGAGTTTTCATGGCTTAGAAATGTTAAAGGGGGTATAAGCAAAAGTTATTGTGAGTGGGGGTTTAATTTTTAACCCTGAAGAGGATAAAGACAAAGTTGAGGAACAGACTGTCCAACAAAATAACACTATCTTGAAACAATATCCCTAGAAGGAGCAGAGAGTAGAGATGAATATTTATATTTTGACTTCTTTAATTGACTGAATATAAATAACTTTTGTGTTTAAAATCAATTTGTTTCATATATATATTCTTGTAATTCATTAATACTCTGCATTATTAAACACATAACACAAAGCATTATAATTCATATTGCATGTCATGATTTACATGACTTATTGCTTCAGATCACAAACGTTCACTCTAAAAAAAAGAGTTACGCGCCCTTGAATTTTGCGCCTTAAAAAAATCCTGGGGAGAACACTGTGTAACGGTCTACATTAAGTTCATAGTTAGACTTTGAAATTTGTTTCATTGATCACATCTCACAACATTCTATTCAAAAACTTGAATGTGTTGAAGTATTGAGTTGGTCAAAGAAATATTCAAATTAGTTCAATGCACTTATATATCTTGATTCAGTTAAAATCCTTGTTAACTTGACTTTCAAATGTAGAAGTCATCAGATCAATTAAAGTACAAATTTGTTTTAAAGTTTTAAGCTAATTTTATTTATGTTCATTTCCAGCATTGTTTGCAGTCCCAAGAAATTACAAATTAGTAGCAGCACCATTATTTGAACTATATGACAATTCTGCAGGATATGGCCCAATTATATCAAGTTTACCTCAGGCATTGAGCAGGTAAGTCAATAGAAGTGGGGTTAGAATTAAATCAAATGACATCTCAGCTGGATGTGGTCCAAATATATCAAGTTAACCTCAGGCATTGAGCAGGTAAGTCAATAGAAGTGGGTTAGAATTAAATGAAAGTTCAGAGATATTAAGCAGGTTATGCTTTATAAAGGATAGTGTAAAAATATGCTGCACATTATCTTGAAACTGATGGGATGCTGATAAAATTACAGTCAGGATTCTACTTTGTCAAAATTATCTCCCCTTTACGCCAGTTAATTTTTACAATCGTAAAAATGGAAGCCATTTTAGGGATGACACGGCGCCAATTTAGCTCTTGAAAACCGATAAATTTATCCACATAGCACCATTACGATCCTTATATGCCAGTTGCATTTTAAAAGACAAATGTATCTACTAGCTATTGAGCATCATTTAATGCACTTTTCTGCATTCAGTCACCTTAAAACTATTTTCTGATCGGTTGTCAGGTGGAATTTTCGAAAGTTCAAAAACATTTAAAAAAATTCTACATAAATATTTTGTTGAAGGGCAGACTAAGAAGAAGACGAATAACCCTAGATAACACACACAAAAAAATGAAGTTTTTTTGAAGTTATACATTTTTAAGATCCAGTTGTAAAGTCTGTCGTCAAGTACTTTTAGTAAAAATTTGTTACACCTACTCTGTTGTTATGCTTATTAAATATATAAAAATAATAGAATCTGAAGCAAGATGATGTGTCAAATATATTTGCTTTATACGTTTTCAAGACAGAATAATCAACTCAAACATGCACGAACATAAAAAGGTGCACTTGACTTTCTCATTTCGATGCAATTTTCCCATTTTTTGGATTTTTTCCCAAAAAACTGTCTCTGGTGGCAGAGATGCAAATTAATGCTTTAGAAAGATCAATCTATTATCTTTCTGTGGATTTTTTTTCGGCGGAATTTGTGCTTATGCACAAAAAAGATCCACTTTTGATTTGCACCTGCCACGATCGAATGTTTTATGAAAGCTCCATACTATAATTCAAGTAAAAACAGGTATATAAGATGCATAAAATCCTAAATTATGCACCTTTATTGAACTTTTAAAGCCCGTAGAAACAGATGTAAACAATTCAAATATACCAATTTTGCTTTTTTCACCTTCTCTAACAAAGAGCTCCATTTCTTTTGTTTAATTTCAACTGGGTTTCCGCCTGATTAGGGTCAATTGAAGACTCAATGGGGTTCTGATGTGAATGCAATCTAGGGGAGGCAACTAGAATTTGCTCTAGGTAAAACCAGTACTGCCTATCCTGTTGATCAGATCATACATTGTACTTGTGGACATCAATCCAAAACATGTTTTATATTTGGTATGGTGATTTTGTTGTATCATCTACATTGTATTTCATTACAGTTTTTCAGTGATTTTTGACTTTTTGTTGATGTGTCAGTTTTTCTAAGGGTATGACCGATTAGAAAATTTGTAATATATAATCTAATTTAAAGCAGCTTATTTTGCATGGATGTTCAAAAAATATTTTTATTTCATATAAATCCAGAGTTCTATTAGGACATCTGTCCCTCAGTATAAATTAGCAGAATGCTTGTTGGACCAGTTCAATGATATTTTTAGGAGTTTTTAGTCATATAATTAATGATTGACCACTAAAAATTTTATCAAACCAGTAAATATAATTAAGAACTGTTCACTGTACCAAATGTTCAGTGAATTATTTACATGTAGCAACTTAAAGAAACAAACATCAATCTTTTTTTGGAAACAGAACATAAAGGTGGCATTATCTCAACAATAATATAATGACTATTAAATGTATAGAAAATCAGAATCTTCATTAGCCAAAGGTTACAATCTCTTGTTGATAGCAGCAGATAATAATGATTTGTTAGTCAACATGGGAAATGTTTAAAAGTACAAAGCAATATCGAAATAACATATAATTTGAATTTAAAACCTTGTATCAATTCAGAACTTACTCTATTTTATTATAAATGTAATAAGGGGAGATAACATTGTACAGTGTGTTATTGCAATAAGTTGTCTCCCATATAATACAATACACTCAAATACTAGATGCAAGTTTAAAAAATAAGGAAAATGTCCTTTATATTATTAAAATAAAATTAAGATAGAGCAAGTATATTTATTCATGCCTACTACACAGCTAATAATTTAACTATGGAGCAAAATCTATATTTAGATGATTTCCTCAATGTTGAAATCCAAGAATTAACACTGCTATTTTCATGATCCACTCCTGCCAGACAAAGTGAAATCAACAATTATTTGTGGTAGATTTTGTTGATTTGTCCTAAATCCCTCCTCTATATGATAATTGTCCTAAATAAAAGAAATTCTAAAATTTCATTATGTGTATATCAACTTAACCTGAAAAATGACAGAAGCAAAAATTGCTGTCGATAATAACAAAGAAATGAAAAGAGCAGTAAGACATATGTCAATATACATGACAGCTACACAAAAGTACTGATTACTAATGTTACTTAGTATGTGATCTGTTAAATGAAAAACAAGCCTCTAGTTTTCCAAATGTCATGTTCTTTCCTTAAGTTATGGTTTCACTTATATCCTTCCTTAATAGGAAAACGTGCTTTAACACCATTGTCCCTGGATTAGGGGGGGTGGGGAGGTTGATCCCTTATAATCTGGTTTGACCTTGTCACATTCATTATGTGTCTGTCCTAAGTCAGGATCCTGTAATTCAGTGGTGGTTGTTGGTTCATATGTCTGTCATATTTGTTTTTTCGTATATTGTATTCTATAAATTTGGCAGTTAGTTTCCTTGTTTGAATGGTTTCACATTTTTCATGTCAGGATGTTTTATAGCTAACTATATGGTATGTGTTTTTCTCATTGTTGAAGACCGTACTGTGACCTATAATTTCTTTTATTTTCGTCAATTGAAATCTGGTGGATAGTTGTCTCATTGGCAATCATACCATATCTCCTTATTTTTATATTTGAGACAGATTAAAATAAGCAATGTTTCATGTTTACAGTCCTATTATTTTTAATGTATAATCTTATAAAGCATGATTAGATTTATTGAATATTTATTGTTTAAACCAATATGAAGACATAATCTCCATGTTGAATGGCTCACTGTGACTTTGAAATGAAGAACATCAATAATAAGGCTGTTCCTTTAATTTGTTGTTGTTTTTTAAGTGCATGTAGTAATTTTGTGTCATGTATTAGATACAACTTGAGGCTGTTAGCCCAAATGGGTGTATCTAATTTACACCAAGGTACTATTTGTCAATGCAGAAAGATAGTTTTCAATAATTTAGGAGGGGGTCTTTCAGAGATTTGACCATATGTTATTGAAAAGCGTGATAAATGCAGGGTATCTAATTTCATTTAACAACATCTTTGTGTAATTATAAATACTCCATATACTTTCTTTTCATTTTGATAAATTCCACGGTTTAAACTATGTAAAATTGAGAATGGAAACAGGGAATGCGTCAAAGAGACAACAACCCAACCAACGAGCCGAAAACAGTCCAAGGCCACAAATGGGTCTTCAACACAGCAAGAAAATCCAGCACCCCTAGGTGGGCTTCAGCTGGCCCCTAAATATATGAAAAGGGACGTCACACTAAGCTCCGAAACATATAAATGAACCAAAATTTAATAAAAACAGTATTTTATGGTGACAGGTTTCATTTGTTTTGACAGGCAGCAAAGAAAACTTGATGGTTAATTCACAAATATAAGTAATAATTGCATTTATTACATTGGTAGCAATGAATTACATTGATTTCCCAGTCAAATAAAAACCGATAATTTCACATGTGAAATAAACGTGGTTATTTCACTCTCTGACGTCATACAACAATAGGCGTTGTCAAGACGTCCATAACGTCGGATCAAAACAAATTGTGAATGCGTAGAAAAAAGATATAGTTCCTTACATTTTCTACATTAATTTCATTAAAAAAAGCCATTTGCCAATGTAATAAAAAGAATAACTAATCAAAGAATTCAAATATCGAAAAATATTCAACTCGTGACCGAACAACACTGATAATTAACTCATGCGCTATGCGCATTCGTGAATTAATGTGTTGTTCGGTCACTCGTTGAATATTTTTCTCTATTTGAATTCTTCGATTAGTTATTCTATAAGTATTTCTTAAATAATCACTGTAAAGCTGTAGACAAATAGTTTGGGAAACTAAAGTGATAACAAGCTTTGAGCATCAAGACAGAAAGGGTGTTAACAAATTAACAGATCAGCTATATTCATCTCAACGGAAAGGTATCTATTACAGAAAATGGAAGTAGTATAATTGAATAAGAAATGTGACTGCAATATGTTTGTTCAGAATCCAAATCCAAACTGTTGGTAAATCCATTGTACATACTCAAAAATGTAAATAACAATATTGGTTGAATAAAATATTGTTTATTACTGTGGAGCATTAAATTCTCTTTTTTGAAAGCAAAAGTCATACTGATGGTATAAATCATACAGATAATATATATCCTATTCAAAAGTTTAAAACTTGGGGCAATTTTAATATCGAAATGACTTTTTAGAGACTTGCCTTTTGTTAAAAAATGTATGGCGTTATAGATATGTTGACCTCAAAATGTTTTTTTGTGTTGTTTCAATGATGTATTCTCAACATCTCTAAAAAAATTTATTTATAATCAACATCTTTATTTATATTTCCAACAATATAAAATTTGCTTTATTAATTTACTGTATATTTTCAGAGATATAGCAGAAAAAAAATGACCCAGTTATTATTGAACATATTAACTTTTAAAAAGTCAATTTTGACTATTATTATTGATTCTTCATTGCATTTTATTAAGAAAATGATTTTTATAAATTGTTAAAGGAATTGTTAAGGAAGTTTCCTTTGTTAACTGGCATTGTTGTGATTTGATTCGAGACATTAAGGCGTTAATTTTGTCTGACACATAAAAGACTGGGATTAAAACAATGACATGTTTTTTA